ATCAACTCAATTTAAGATAGATGCTAGTTTTTCCAAATTGTAAGCAAGTCTAATTTAGTTGTAGAATCTAAAGCAGGGTTTCAAACTCATCTGGGCTTGGGTTGGGCCACCAACAAAACCTTACGTCACAGGTGGGCTGGTGGATAATCTACATAGATATCAGCAAAATTGGTAGTAACTTAAATAGAAACAGTTTAAGAAAAATTATCTTATACAAAAATTTTTCTTTTTCTATGTTCAGAAAGTTTTTTTTACATCATGCATAAAACTGGTAGTTTACTTTCAAAGTAATGGTCATGTGAATGCTCGCCCGTAAAACTTTGGAACCGCCTTGTATCTCATTAGAGAAAAATGTCTGCTTTCAAATCAAATAATTTGCATGATGATAGAAGCTCCTTTTCAATAACAAACTTCAATCATCTTCGACGGAGTGCGAAGCTGGAGCTAACCATAAAGTTAAATTTAAGCACAATGATATCTTCTAAGATAGGGCTTTATAAGACTAGAAATTTGTATTAACAGCTCGATTGTTAGATGAAATGCTTCTTTTGAATATAGAACGTTTGTTATAATCACTCAGTATTAAAAAAGCATTCATTTGTAGTTTGTTTTAATCCATGTTAAAAGCCAAGGGTAGTCATGATATTTTGGCCCCTCCTGGATTCATCATCAGTAGGATAGAAGAAAAAAGAATGAAAGTTGTAAATTTTTATACATTATTCTATGGTTTCAGATTTTTAAAAGTCTTAGATTTAAATTTGCATTTTTCTTTGTAGTCTTCCAGCTCAGAAGCAGAAGAGTAAATGCTCAAAAAACATCCAGGATATATAAATGTGTTGATAATTATCAAGATATTACATACTTGTAGAAATGAGCCTTAGACATTTTTGTACTTAATTGCCAACTTCACTCATTTGTTGGCAAACTTCAATGGCTCTCAAAAAATAAAAATGCACATCCACTTCCAACCATCATGTTTTACGACATTTTTAACACTGTCTTCATCACAAAAGTTTATTAAAGTTCGCGATAAAACTTAATTTCTTATATTTTCTTCATGAATATGCTCCACAAAATTGGAGGCGACAACATGTACAACAGAAGTCATGCCCCTTGACATGAACTCACCATATGCCCGAACAGTCTATCAGCCACTGTATGATAAATATGTGGAATATGTAATGGCTTATTTTCTTGATTGTGAGCAAGATGCATATTATGTTACCCGATGCCTAGCTATAGCTAAAAACTAAGATCAGATGTAATTCTAGGAATGATAATCAATACGGCTCAACTTGTCCCCCCGTGTCTTTATTTTTCTTTTGAAGCTGACACTTCATAGTTGTTTTAACTTTTATGGTAATTATTATACAGGCTTTTGCAGTAAGCTTTCGTAGAAAGCAGACATTAATTTTATTAAACTGATTTATATTTGTATTTAATTTCTAGGCACATTTGTTACTTTCGTTGCTCACAAAAGTACTTTTTGAAATACTATATGGCTGGCTATTTACTGGCGTTCTATGTCCATTCTTTTCGATTGTGACAAAACCTCTATATTCTTGTTGCTGAAACTACAGAGAGCGTGCCAACTCTGTTCATTCTGTAGTGAAATTGTGCTGAACAGACTCCAACCCCAAGCCCTTGTAACTCATCTGTAATTGGGTTGACCCTAACCACGAGCTCCATTCTTACAAGTGATTTACTTTCGCTATAAAGAATGGCTATATAGTTATTAGGAAGCTATTTAATTTTTTTGTGTAGGCACAGAACACACCAAAACTTACCAAGCTTGGTGTTCGCTAATTCAGTACCCAAAAGAATATGGGCAACAAATCTTACATCAGACATAAATTCACGAATCTTAAACTACAAAGACCTATTAAAATTAAAATACATGTTTGATCAGCTAGGCATCTGACTTTTATACACAAGCACGTTTTCGGGTTAAGCATGTAGATTGCTTTGCACTACAATCAATCACCTCCTTTCAGTATTTTTTAGCTTTTTAATCAAAATACCATCAAGTTGTTAATAAAAAGATTTTCAGTTATTGCAACAAGGCCCAGTGATACTCAAATATGTAGAATCACTGATTATTATAAAGTTGCAAAGAGAAAAGCTAGGTTGCCGCTATCTAGACTTTTGCAAATATCAGACGCTGACGATGTAACCCAACAAAATATAAGATCATCTTTGCTTAAACTTGCGTCATTCTGTTTTCGATATATATGTAAAAGCCTTTAATGATCAACCTTTAAAACAGGAATCTTCCTTTGGAAATATCGTTACTTAATTAATCATTAACACCTTCATTAGAAGAAGAGTTCAAACTAATTAGAGTGAACTTTTATGTTGGTATCTTGATTATATATATTTCTATTGCCTTTCAGAAAATACAATTGTAGCACGTGAATATGATCCAACAGATGAAGAAGCTATTTGGGTTATCCCAGCGGGAGGATGAAGATGACGAAACAATATATATAATCAAAGATCAACCAACATAAAAGTTCACTCTCAAATTAGTTGAACTTTCCTTCTAATGAAGGCTGTTAATGATAATTTCAAGTAAACAGTATTTCCAAAGGAATATTTCCTGTTTTAAAGGTTGATCATTAAAAAGGCTTTTAATTAATATATCGAAAACAGAAATGACGCAAAGTTTAAGCAAATGATCTTATAATTTGTTGGGTTACATCGTCCAGGCTTCTGACTATTTGCAAAAGTCTAGATAGCGGCAACCTAGCTTTCCTCTTTGCAACTTTAAAAATATCAGTGATTCTACCCATCATTTGAGTATCACTGGGCCTTGTTGCAATAACGAAAAAATCTTTATTACACAACTTGATGGTATTTGATTAAAAGCCTAAAAAATACTGAAAGAGAGGTGATTGATTGAGTGCAAGCATCTACATGCTTACCACGAAAACGATGCTGTATAAACAGCTCAGATGCCTAGCTGATCAAAACATGGTTTTATTTTAATGGTCTTTAGTTAAGATTTGTGAATTTATTTGATGTAAGATTTTTGCCCATATTCTTTTGGTACTGATTAGAACACAAGCTTGTAAGTTGTTGTTCTGTGCCACCACAAAAACCAATTAAATACTTCTCTTAAATACTACTATAGCCATATCTTATAGCAGACCAGTAAATTCACTTGTAGAAATGGCTCAGTGGTTAGGGTCACCAATTACAGATGAGTTACAAGGACTTGGGGTTGGAGTCCCTGTTACAGCACAACTTTCACTAAGAATGAACAGAGTTGCCACCTCTCTGTAGTTTCAGGCAACAAGAATATAGAGGTTTTGTCACATCGAAAAGAAGGACATAGACACAGCTAAATAAGCACAGCCCATTAGTATTTCAAAAAAGTACTTTCGTGAGCAAGAAAGTAACAAATACAGAAATTAAATACAAATATAATCAATTTAAAAAATATAATGTCTGCTTTCTAGAAAGCTTACTGCAAAAGCTGTATATATTACCATAAAAGTCTAAAAAACCAACTATGAAGTGTCAAGCTTCAAAAGAAAAATTAAAGAACCGAGGGGGACAAAGTTGGGCTATTGTTCATACATTCCTTAGAACTTACATCTGATCTTAGTTTCTAGCTATAGCTAGGCATCGGGTACATATAATGCATTTGCTCAACAACAAGAAAATAAGACATACATATTCCACATACTTTATCATACAGTGGCTTAAAGACTTCGGCATATTTCATTTCCAAAGCATGAACTTCCTTGTAGAATTTCCCTTCAATGTGAGCATATTCCACCTGAAGAAAATATAAGAAATTAAGTTTTATCGACAGACCTTTAATAAACTTTTTGATGAAGACAGTGTTAAAAAATGTCTAAACATGATGTTGGAAGTGATGTGCATTTTATTTTTGAGAGCCATTGCATTTTGACCAACAAATGATGAGTGGCAATTACAGGTACAAAATGTCTAAGGCTCATTTCTAACAAGTATGTACAAATATCTGATAATTATAAACACATTCTATATATACCTGGATGTTTTTTAGAGCATTTACTCTTCTCTTCACTGAAGCTGGAAGACTACAAAGAAAATGCAAATTTAAAAATCCTAAGACTTTTAAAAATCTGAAACCATAACATAAATTTTCAAAATTACACTTTCATTCTTTTTTTCTATCCCATACTATGAAAATGATCCCAGGAGGGGCAAAATATCATGACTACCCCTTGGCTTTTAACATGGATCTAAAACAAAACTACAAAATGATGCTTATTTAATACATGAGTGATTTAACAAACGTTCTATATTCAAAAGAAGCATTTCATCCTAACAACGAGCTGTTAATCAAATCTTCTATCTTATCAAAGCCCCTATCTTAGAAAGATATCATTTGCTTAAACTTTAACTTTAGGTTAGACTCCAAGCTTGCCACTCCCGTCAAGATAATTGAAGTTTGTTATTGAACAAACATTCTAATATTCATGCAAAATTATTTGATTTGAAAGCAGACATTTTCTCTAATGAAGTTGAACAAGGCAATTCAAAGTTTACGGACGAGCATTCACATGACATTCTTGAAAGTAAACTACCAGTTTTATGCATGATGTAAAAAAAACTTTCTGAACATAGAAAAAGAAAAATTTTGTATAGATAACTTTTTCTTAAAACTGTTTCTATTTACAGTTCACTACCAAATTTGCTGATATCTTATATAATTATCCACCAAGCCCACCTGTGACGTAAGGTTTTGTTGGTGGCCCAACCCAAGCCCAGATAGTTTGAAACCCTGCTTTAGATTCTACCAACTAAATTAGCTGCTTACAATTTTGAAAAACTAGCATCTATCTTAAATTGAAGTGATAATTAGGTCCAATCAAATTTAAAATAATAAAATAACTTTTACCTTTCAATATATCCAGATGCTGCACCAACAAGCCCATTCAACTTATTCTGGACAGCCTCCATCAGAGCTGGGTTGGTGGCCAATGCATGGGCAACTAAAAGCAAAAATCGACATTATATTGAGTTTTCTAAACATAGTATTGTGAGGGAACAGTTATTTAGGGGTATACACTATTTTTGATGATCATGCCTAAATTTCCTTACTTTTTGTTTAATTGGTAGAGAAAAGGCACTTTTAGTGGGGTATTCTTGTTGACCATGCCTAAATACTTTTACATTTTCTTAAACTAGAGAGGAAGGGTGCAAACAAAACACATATCTTCACATTGATTAATATATGGCAACTTTTGCTTCTTTTTTAACAGTTAGGGCTAGAAAACAAAAACACATGCAGCAGTTCAACAAAATACCAAACAAGCAGACATACCAGCTTGCTCATTGAAAGATGGTGCATCAGCATCGTCCCCATCACTTGAGTCTACAACAGGCTTCTTTCCTTTAGGCATGCTTAAGAGAATCAAATTTGCATAATTATATTCAGATTGCTAGAGAAATGAGCTTCCTAAACATTGTTTCTATTCCTTCTATATTTACTATATACAATACATATATAATGAAAAATATAACTATCTATACTTAGTAAGCAAACGTTTTGCACAGGTTTGACAAATGAGTAATGCAAACAACATGACAATCTGAAGTAAAACTGCTTTTGTGAAGCCATCAAAGTGTCTTTTTATAGTTAAAAACCAATCAAACCAAACTTATAACCATTGGCAAAACTTTTAATTTAAAGATTGAAATACGCTATATACTTTTTAAAAAGTAAACATTTTCAACTTTTATTGAATTTGCTTTGATACCTTTGTGAGACTGGCTAAAATTCTATCAAAAAGTTTTGTATATATGTAACAGGTTCTGTTAAACGTGATAGATTCAGAAAAACATTTGAAAGATCACATTTAGGCATTGGAGTGCCAAGTTGGTCATTATTGGCCATGTATTTGGTGGAAAATGGCATAATTCAATCCATTCTAGTCTTACTCTTTCAGCTATTAAGCCTGGTTTCAACTGGGCGATTATCGCGATAAAAGCGACAAATTCAAATGACTTTTCGCTTTTATCGCAACAATCGTCCAGTGGAAGCATGATTTAATTGTGATTATTGCGCCACAATTATCATGATAAGGGCGACAAACCTGAACATTGCCATTAAATTTATCAATATAATGACAGTTTCCACTGCACGAATAAAACGATTAGTGCGAAAAAAATTTGATTCCACAATCAGCATGGCGCCCTTACAAGAAAGCATCTCATTGCCAGAAAAAGGTCTGCCTATATTCTGACACCTTTCTCCAGGCATTAGCCATGACATTCTTAAATTTGCAGTCTATTTTTCTTTTGGCATAAAGACATTTGTACGGTCTAACTGCTTCCTGCTAGCTGTTTGTCTCGTTGAATACAATTGGGATCCATTTTGTCAAGCTACGCTACTTGGTTTATAAGTTTTTATAAGAAGAGTGTTTCAAATAATTTATTGCGAAAGAAATGATTCAACCCTTGAGACTTCCCAGTCATGCCAAGACTCTTTTCTTTACGTGGACGTTTTCATGGTGATCGAGGAATGCCTTTCAAAATAGATTCCAATGACGTCAATTTTGGCGATAAAAACAATTAACGTGGCGCGATAAGCACGATTGTTTTACAAGATTTCATGTTTCCACTGGCCGATTTTCACGATAAAAGTGAAAAGTCTGTTGAAGTTGTCGCCTTTATTGAGAAAATCGCCCAGTGGAAACCAGGCTTTAAGGCACTTTAGTGTACCTGTTAATCACATGAATTTTGTTCTTTTCACTTAATAAAAAGATGAAATGTTGTTTTAGGCAATTTATAGTATTATTTGTTCCCTTAAAACATCGCAGTGGGTTGGAAAAAATGGACTTAACAATTTGTGACACATTTTATTGATTGAACTCTGTTGCAACATATAAGGAAGCGGCCTCTGTGATTAGGCCAAAAGCAGCTCCGAAATATTTCCCAAATTGTTTAGCATACTCTCTAACAACAGTGAGAAAAATGAGCTGATCTAGACACTTAGAATAAAGTAATTATCCACAAGTACAATTTATCAAGACATCAAAAATTGGTACACAGTTAAACTTCTTATTGCCAATGTTTCACAGGTACTTCAATTATCATGGCTCAATTTTCGTGTTTTTGCAAATGTTGATATTGTTTCAAAATAGACAAAAAATTAAAAATTTTCCAATATTTTCCAACTAAAAAGTTTCCTTATAACTTTCATTAAACTTGCTGTGGCCTTTGGAATTTTGGTTCGCTAAAAAATTTTGTTACAGTGCCATCATTCCTGTTTCAGCCTGTGCAATACTTTTGTTCCACAAGTGTACTTTACATCAACTCAGGTAAAACACCACTGGGAGCAAATTGGGAGTGAGCATCCTGTGGCAATAACAAAAAGACATGCTTTCGGGAAGATTAAAAAAGACATTTTCATGCTTTGCCTTTAATGGAAGTTTTGAGCCAGGGTGCATTCCATGTCAACTATACGCCAAAGGTCCACTAGGGTATTTGATTAGGTACGCCGAAAATATAAAAGCAGTAAGTAAAATATAAAAACATTGTTGCACCAGACAAAGAAAACTGATTATTAAAGAAAACTGTGGTGTATGAGTCTTTATTTTAGGTTAACTAGTACATGGCTTTATGTTTAGCATGCCAACTAACAAAAATTCTAAGTACGCCAACAATTTTTCTTTACTGGCTTGCATGCCAAATGCTAAAAAAACCTGGGTTTACGCTGAAGATCTTCTGGCCTAAGTACATTGAATGCACCCTGGGTTTTGAGTATAGTTTGTAGACGTAACTTTGAAAAAATGTCTATTTTTCATTATTCAACTTAGAAACATATATTTAATTAGTTTTCAACTGCACTAAACATTCTTTCATGGGCAGGACAGTGTTCTCGCCCTTAGTTTAGCTTTTCCAGTTTGGTTTTAAACATTAGGCCTATGTATTTTTCAAACTAATGAAATCTGGTTGCTTTCATGGGGATGCAATGGCAAAGGGTGCTGGGACATCATGAGATAGAGCCCAAGGTATGAGATTTCGATTTGTGTCTTCCTTTATGACAATTATGCGATCGTCAGATGTTAAACTTTGTTTGGCCTAATCTTTTTTAGAAAATATCATACTCACAGTGATAAAAAATTTTAAAAACCTATTTCCAACCGTCAAGATATGAAAAGTACCTAACTTTTATGTTAAGCCCTACATAAATTTTTCATGAAAAACAATGTTTAAAAATTTTCTTAAACTTTTCAAACTTTTCTTTCAGGAATCATCGCTGCGGTTTTTGGCAGGAGAGAGGATAGAGCAAGTTAAGGAAATTCAAAATTTATGACCAATGCAAAACCTGTGAACACCGACAAAAATTAGTTAAGTTATGAAATGAACTTAAATTTCTGTAAATGTTTAATTGCCAGTGCACGAAACAAGAAGAACAGACCCTGAATGGATGAACTTAAAAGCATCAACGAAATGGTGATAGGCCTAAAAACTGGAGACATATCTTACCTAGATGACAGAAATTACCCATACCTAGATGAATGAAAACTATGAAAATTAGAAAATAAAGAATTTCAACATACCTGATATCAAACTCCAGATACTTCGATGTACACTGGAAATTTTGATTATTCGGTTTTCAGGCCAATGACTTGCAGCCTGTCTGCCCTCGTGAAATTTTATGGGCGAAAAGAATCTCGCTGCATGGTTTTCAAACAGTTGTGCGCATGCCTGACTTGTGGCTCCTTGGCGGGAAAAATGATTGGGGTTGGCTTCCCTCGAGTGGGGGATACAACAGGGCCCGCGCCACAGGGAGGGACAGGGGGCCATGCCCCCACTTTCCTTGCTAACTATAGGTATCAAATCACCTTTTAGGTATTAAATAGGTAACCCCCCTTTTGCCTCCCACTTTAGAATCAGTGGCGCGGGTTCTGTACAATAACGAGGGGAAGGCAACAGTTTAAAAATAAAGTATGTGCGTGACAACAAGCTTTGCGATAAAATCAATATCGACACATGTAGAGAACCATTTCACTCCTTGTGCACCTTTAAACTTAAGGGGGGCAATTTAGAGCAGGCTGCTAGCCACCATACTTTAGCCAATCAATAGCCACCCCCCCTCTCTTGCCTTACCTCTGTTTTTCTTTATAGTATCTTACTAGCTACCTTAAACTTGTTTTCACGAGAATACGCTGCCATTGTTGTGCTCTGGTGTAAGCACGTGTCGTTGTTTTCAAAGATCGAATGTTTCTGGGCTTAGGTTATTTTGCAGCTTTATTTTCATTATTGAGACCGAACGATACACTTAATAACAGACAGAAAATTTTTGTTTCAGTACCTTTCTGATTGGGATAACATTTACATAACGATCACTTTGCAAAAAAAGTGGGGGGGGGGTTGGTGATATATGCATGACCGGCAGGGCTGTCGAGAGGCAGCTCAGGCCCAGGGGTGATTCACAAAGCTGGACCATCTTAAGAAGATTTCATGTTGCCACGCACTTCAGTTTCCCGGAGAACAAGGGAAACGCCCTTTTTAGATACAATCGTTGAAAAAGTTTTTAAGGATTTTTACAAGAATGTGCTAAAACATTTACATGAATCAAGGACTTGTGGATTTTTCTCTGCGATAAAATTACAGGCGTTGATTCCGAAAAGTAGCTTTTTTGCATTGTAAATAGATCTTATTACATTATTACGGGCCCCATCGGTGCACAGGCCCCGGACCTTTTGCCCCTCCTAACCCCCCTTTCGACGCCCCTTATAAGCGGCACCTATACCAGGGCCTGAGAGGTCATATAAACCTTGTAGAAATTCTCCCATAAATTCGCAGCAAAATGTTACTTGTAAATGCCTATTATTTAAAAATTACATTATCTCTTGAAATTTTTATCGTAAGTGGCGATAATGCCATTTCCATGGTCATTGCATTCATCCACACGTGTGCTCCTTCGTTGGCAAAATTCTAGAAATGAACCATGCTGGAAAATTTCGACCCTTTCCAGACCGGCCAATTTGATCTAATGGAATCTCTGACATACTCCCGTACTGGTCTCTTGACCAGTAGTGCGGAAATGTACAGTGAGAATCTGCAGGTATGGTTCAACACAATCCACAATTAACCCCCACTGTAAGGCTTTCATTCACTTTGATTATCATCGCTGCTTTCCAACGCCTCCGCAGCTGCACCATCATCACCATCATCATCATCATGAATGTCATCTTTGTCCCAGTCTTTCATTTTTGATCCCATCATGAAATCATCTCGTAGAATGTCCCAAGCCGGGGCTTCCTTTCCAGCAGCCTTTAGTAGCCAAAAAAAACCTTTCTACAGATGATTATTTCTTGATGCACTTAATTCATTTAGTAAACTAAACATTTAGCTACTGTGTAGACAAAAGGAGTTCTTTTTCACCTTAGGACTCCATTGGTAACATTCTCAATAGGCAAGCGGCACTGATTGGTCAACCTATACAGTCATGTGCTCGTGTTTTCTAATTGGCCTATTTCGATCCACAACGTGGTTATATATATTTTCTAGCGTAAAGTTTTCGATCTATGTTCTGACGTTTTAAACTCTGAAGAGTGTCAGACGAAAAGCTTTAGTTTACTAAATGTTTGCTTTTTTCAAAGCCATTAATTCATTTAGAAAAGGGGTGGGCAATTAATTTTTACAAGGGGACACATGAGAAACTTCAGATTGTTTGGAGGGCCAAACCAATGATTACTTTATTATGTGGAATACTTTTTCATCCAACGTAAAAGCAATAAATTACACTATATTTTAGCTGCTACTTGTTATCAGAACCATATTTATATTACATAAATGGTTATAGAAATATATGAAATTGTGGTGTAGATCAAGTACAGGAAAATGCACCCAAAAAAGTTCATGTTCTAACACACGTAGGTCAGACAAAAACGTTGAAAGGGCCAGGTGTGGCCAGCTGGCTGTAAGATTTCCAGGTCTGATTTTGATTAGATTAAAGATGAAATCAAGCTAACAAAAGGCCTGTGAGAGCTGACATAAAGCAGAGACCGTCTTTCATAGAACCTAAAAATCAATGGAGCCTAGGGAGCAATTTTAGTAAAAAAGAAATGTGGTTAAAGCCACATGATATGTACGATATGAATGATGTCCCAAATTAATACAAAAACATTGCTGAATAAAGCAAAACACTTGATTAAGTCTACATTCACAACAACATATGGTTGTATCAGATAACATCCCCTTAAAGCATATCAAATTTTCAACCAGAGACAAATAAAAACTTACCATTGTCTCTTCTTGCATTTTCAAGGCTTTCTTTGACGAGGAATTAGTTTTTAGCATGTCAAGAAATGAAGTCTTGGACATTGAATCAATCACTGGGAAAAAAGAGACATTATTGTTGGCAAAGAAAAAGGTGTACTTTTGAGTTTAGAAAAGGGAGATGGGGTAATTTCTGCTACTTACTTTACATTTTACAAGATAAGCACAATTATATATTTAAAAAATGAACATTCCTGTAAGTTTTTAGTTGCAAGCATTGATCATAAAGAGAGCTTAAGAAAGTAAAACAAAAGTGTAGACCCACTGAGAATTTTAGACTCTAGGCCCCCCTAGAGGAGAGGGGTATGTGTTTGTGGTTATTTAGCCAGATTAAAAAAATTTGAATCCACAACAATAAAAATACTGAAGATTGACAAAAGCTTCCAAAGAAGAAGCACTTTAAGAAACAAAAAATACCTTTGTCCTTTTTCACCTCAGTTGTTGCTTTTTTAAGTTTGGAGTCAACTTCCTTTTGGTGTTTTGTTACAGCATTAAAAAGTTTCACAACTGCAATGATTGGTGTAAAATTATTGGCATTGTAAAACAAGAAATTGTAATTTTTATATGCATATCAATATGGAAAATCAAGCAGAAAATGACAAATATGTTGGATTTATCAAGGAAAAATTGTTACATTACAAGGCAAGACTGGTTCTTTGCTTGGTAACCACATCATCTTGGTATTTTACCCTTTCTTTTTCTCTTTTACTATCTATCCTTTCAATGCTAGGCGAAATCTATGCAATAATCTATGAGACTTGCTACCCTGAAGTGAATGTAAATTGACAAACCTCCTTTTGTACCAATTTTGCGAAGAGCTACTTCCTTTTCAGCATTAGATCTATCTGGAACAACATGGTTTTTCTCCCTGAATTCAGTTTTTGTTTTGACTCTTGCCTACAAAAAAGTCACAACTAACAGTCAATTTCTTTACATTTTGCCAGAACCAAACTTGATTAAAGAAACACTAAATTATTTTAACAGATTTATGGTAAGAAGAAACTATTAATTGAGAGACCAAAGCTTGATTGGTTCCTTGGTTTTGACCAATCAGCAACTGCTCGCCTTCAAGCAGCTAAAAAGCTGAATTGAGAATTAAACTCTGCATTAATTCCCTTGATGTACATAGGCTTGAAAATGCTTCAAGTCCTTAAGTAAAAAAAAATCTTGCTTGACCAATTATTTTTAAATATGTTAGAAGGAAGGTATGCAGGATGGACCATCTGCCAGATTATGTGCATCTTGCAATGAGTAGGGTTTAGGCACAGGTGTAATAGAAGGAGGAGGAAGTTTAATTGACTCTGATGAAGCCCAGTATGCCTGGGCATAGCATTAGTTAAAAATTTAATTAAATCAAAATTCTGTTTTACAACTCATTGATTTCTCTTCATCGCTTTTATCATCTGTTCCTACCTATTATTTATCTCAAACAATTGTCACTATCACTTTAAGCATACTATATATTTTTACTTCAGAAATCACTGATCATTTCTTTGGGCTGTTCGGCTTAGTGGCATGATTTTGCTTTTGATATTGCAAACTGGAGTTTGATTCCAACCAAGTGCAGTATTTACAATTTGGCAGCACCCTTGAGGAAATAATTTCCTCCTGTAGGCCTTTAAAACATTAATAAATATGTACGGCTATGTGGCTCTTATGAAGGCTTAGAAAGCTTTAATAGAAGAAACAGAAGATAGTGTATATGTAAGATGACAAATTATACCTTCTTTGCAGCATCTTCTTCTTCCTTTTCTTGTTTTCTTTTTTTCCCTTCCTTATATTTTGACAATACAACACCCTGATAAACAAAAACTGTTTGATGAATAATTGTAAGTTACAGATTAAAAAGTAAATAGAGAGAGAAATTGAGAAACAGAATGCCAAAAGGGTAGTACCGTATAATCTTGTTACAACATACTTTAAGGGACCAGCGTATTAAGTGCACGTTATATCCGAAGTACGTTGTAATGAGGGTAAGTAAACATTGATTAAAACCAAGCACACCTTTTGCCGGGGCCAAGCACACCAGTATGTTATATCCAAAAGTTCGTAATAACCGAGTACGTTATAACGGGATTCTACTGTAGAAGAGAGCAGACTCTTAGGACAGAAATATGAAAAGACAAAAACATGGGAAATGATGGATAATGGGCAGGATGCACAGAGATTGTGGGTGATGAAAAGGGTAGATAAGGCTTGATACAATAACAATGATAAATAAACCATATTATACATCTAGGAGCAATACTACACAAATGATCAGGCCTTGCCAGGAGAGGTGCTTGATCGAGCCCACGCGCCTAGAGCACACCCAAAAAAGTCTTGGAGAGGGATGTAAAGAGCCCCTCAAAACATAAAAGCAATATTACCACATAGCAAAATAAGTTTTTGACATTTGTTGAATAAACTTGATCAAGCATAAACAATCTTCTCAACAGGCCGCATAAGATTTGCATAAGATTACCCCTTGAAAAAAAATTCAGCAAATTCAACATTGGGTTTTCAATACAATTTTCATTCTAATAACCCTCTGATAACAATCAAGGACACAGGCAATCAAGCGTTTCTCCAGCAGATTTATTTGATTTTCGAGCAAGCGTTAATCTTCTGTTGAAGTAATATTTTTTGTTTTTTCTTAATAACTTTAAATCACACGTGCTAATCAGCGATCAGACTTCCGTCCAAATTATCACATTGCTTTTCAGTTCTCATTTGCTTTTGTGAGTAGAAGGTGTTCTAGCGTTTCTTATAGAATGGATAACATGAAAAAAGGAAACAAAGTTAAATGTTCGACTTAAAGCCATGCGTTTTGATGAAGCAATATGTGAAGCTAAACATAACAGTAGTCATACTGACAGTGATAAAACATGGCAACTTACATATCTAGACATGGCAACTTACATATCTAGAAAAATCTGAACAATTTTGCGACTTTGTTTTATTACATTTCTATATTTATATTAACATAGTGTTTGCTGCATGTTTTGTTATTTCATATTATGGTGCTTTTTGGTATCACCATTGAATTTCTTATTTAACACTCTTCCAAAGCTCTCAATATGAAGCTCACGATCTTCCAAAGCTTTCGAAGGATGCTCTCAAGGACATTTTATTTAGAGGTACAAAATAGAGCGCCTAGAGTTTCTAAGGAGCTCTTTTTATAGAGCACCTTCATTTTGCATAGAGCAAGGCCTGAAATGATATCAAATTATAAAAAATTAGTAACACAACAGGAGTCTTGCTTTAAGAATAAAAACATTTTTTGGCTTTCTTACACTAAAGAGGTTGTATATGTTAAAATTTAGTTGACTGTGTTAGGAAAAATTTAAAGAAACAACCACTTATAAGGTTTCTGTTAAGTTTACATTGTTCTGATACATAGTTATAAAATACTTAGTGGCACATGATGAGTTGTGCTTTTGGGGTAGCAGGCAAGTGATCAAACACTTTTTAGGGCAAGGCCTGGAGGTTGTAGTTCAAATAAAAAATCAGAGAATTGTAAGCATTTTACCATTTCATCTTCTTTAATTGCTTTGCCTAGAATTTTGCTAATCACATCATTCATCCCAGCAATATTCTTTTTCTTTGCATCAGCTTCATCTTCTTTGGAGGCTTGAATACAATAAAACAAAATGAAAGTTGGGATAAGATCTAGGGCTAAATGAAACTTTGATTGTGTTGAACCAAGAAGTTTGCTAATAGTTATGTTTAATTTTGTTTTTGCTGCTGCAGTTGGTCAACAGTCCTACACAATAAATGAATTATAGCCTCAATTACATTTGTACATAAATTGTAATCTTTAACTTCTGATTCAGTCAAATTCTACTTATAATTGACTATGTTACCACCTCGCAAACACTACCTGAAAATGATAATTTTTCAACGCAAACATTAAAAAAATTCTTAAAAATTTAAAGTTCAACCTATCTTTTCAAGAAAAAATTAACCGATAACATTTTTCTCTTGCATTTGCAAATACGGTCAAAAGCCTCTACAAACCCCTGAAATTACAAACAGGTTTCATGTATTTTGTAAATTAAAATATTGAGTGCTTTTCTTTTGTTGATTTACTAAGAGTTTCGATTGTTCTTTTCACATGTTTTTATTCATTCAGTACCCATTAAAGTTTGTTAGGCCAGAGCAGGGTAGTGTCCAAAAAAAGAAAGCACGGTAGGTCACAGGCTACGGGCCCGTTCGCACTACAGGGTCGAAAACCTTACAAAGTTAATCCCAATTGTTCACCTTCAAAGGCATCATGTGATTTTCAGGAAACTGTTAAATTGGTACCGTGCCAACGGCAAAATCTGTTTTTACCAGACAACCTGATTTTCACTAATCCCACAAAGGTTCCATCGTAGAGCCCCGAAGCGGCACTTTTTCATGAAAATCAAGGATTAACCAGCATGAAACAGAAAGAGATGCCATCATTTCTGTCAGACTTGCAATTCTGTGCTTGTGTACTCAATATTCAAGAAAAGATGAACCAAAACTACGAAAATCTCTTACACCTTTTGTGAAAATCCTATTGTTTTGTCTAAAAATCCCCAGAAATCCTTTTGTTTTAGGCAAAATCTTATACGCTTTTTTCAAGAGTGAATCGCCCCTTGACCAAAACAGCCGCCCTTTTTCTAGAATAAAACTAATAATTTTGGCATAATATTTAGAATATGTTCCCTTCCATCCTTAAGCTTTTCTTGAACTCCAAATTAGATATTAATTTATCGTATAAAGTGTGCTCTAAAAAAGGGATGCTACAGGTTGAGGGCAGCTCAAAAGACTTCAGATCTGCATGATTTTATAGTTTGTCGTCTTCGATAAAATGGCTACGGTGTTAAAGCCAAAATAAGATTGCTTTGTTGCTGATTTATAACTAAAACTGCATTTGAGACAGAAGCAAGTGGAGCAAGTGCCAGCTTAAATGTAAAGAGTTTTCCTCATCCATTCCAACATTAATGCCAGACTGGAAACTTTGTTATGCGCCCGCGATATATTGCCAGTGCATTCAAATTTTCCATTTGCTCACTTTTGCATTTTGGTCACGCAAAGTCCCTATTTGAGTACATTTCACATTATTAACAATACAAATTTCTTAAAAGTGCGTGATTTCAGGCCCACAGTTGTGCAGTCAGGTGTATGAACTTGCCTGCACAAGAGACAAAGTTTCCAGTCTGGCATTAATTAGCAATCAGAGTCACAACAGAATAGAAATGTAAAAGCTTATAACGGGTCATTCCATATGAAATTTAAGAAGGTTGTAACCTACTATCCCAGAATTAGCTGAATTTGATATCAACTGTTGGTATCATTAAAAAACAAAATTTCCCAAAATTTGAGATCAATATCTTAAGCCATTGCAAAGTTATGACAAATTAAAATAATCATGAAATATGGGCGTGGTCCGCCCTAATTTTCGCACATCAAAAGACAATCCGTATTCAAAGAACAGTTTAACGATTTCTATGTACACTGTGATTTTGAAAATTTGTGACATATACAAATTGATATTGAGAAATCCAGAAACGGCATTAGAAATAGCATAATTTGAATAGTTTATCTTTTATTCCACTGTAAAATGACTAATATGATTTTCCCAAACACGATGATCTGAAATGTTCGAGTGGCTATTTTGGGATGTCTCCAAGTTAGTCAACAGTTTTCCTGTATACCATTTTGAAGAGCATGCTTGGAACTACCAAAAAATATCAAAGAACTAATTTGCATCTAAGGGAGAAACTAGTAATCAAGCTTGAAAGATTTTGTCTTTTTGAGTTACTTCCATTCCGGTTCAATAAATAGTGTTTTCCCAGTCTACAACAAAGGAACCAAAGTGATACCTAATACCTAAAACATATTCTTCAAAATGATTAAAAAGCAATTTAAGACACTAACTTTTATGGTTTATTGTGGTTTAGAAGCAATTCATTTATATTTTGCACATCTTCATTTGTAATGTCATAAGTTCGTCCAGTCTTTGTTACTGGAGCTTCAATGCTAGATAGAACGTCCAGCTCTGAAACCCAGCAAACATCTTCTCTTTGAGGCCAGTGAAAACTTAAACATGGTCCTGGAGGGTGTAAGAAACTAACTTTGAAGTCATTCTCTTCCATACAAAATTCCTGAACCATTCCTATCCACCACTTCTTATCGTATCTACAGGCAACAAAGTCACTTGCCTTCACGGAGGTGATAGAAAGGAATTTGCCTTTTTCACCAGATATGTTAAAGGTACCTAAAAACGTATCCTCTTCAGCAGTGTATTTGAAGGCAATTGTACTTGTAGACACTGGCTCAAAGTAGTGATAGCTTCTAGTTCCAGGAATGGTGCGACCAAGAGAAAACCTGTCCATTAATTCTTTTCTGACATTCTCCATTCTTTCCTTTGAAATGAACAATGTTTGAATGTTTTGAATATTTCTTTCACAAAATTCAAGCATTTTTGTCACATTGAGGATTTGGTAAGAAAATGGTCTCTGTAAACTTGCACGTGATGTGAGTCTCTTTACTGTGCCCCCAATACCATCACATGGCGATTTCCCATGGCTGGTTGCAAAGAAAGACCAAGTTGCATCCAAACCAAAGTCATCCTTGTGACTGCACAAATTCATCATGTTTTTGTAATTCTTATATTGTGCAGCACAACCATCAGAGAAATACTCCACTTTAGTTATAGATGGAAGTTCAATCTTAATGATACTTGTGAGCCTTCTCTGGACCTCAAAGACAAAGTTTGTGTCATGTTCTAGGTCATCAGACAAAAAACAAAAGGAACGGCTCAATAATTCTGCATTTTGCTTGTAGTATAAAACTACTGGATGTAATGTGCAATATGGTCTACTCCAGTGATATGATTGCACTTCATCTTGTACAGTAAAAGTATAGTTCTCTGCAAAGTCACCTAGAACTATTGCAGTTTCTTCAGTGATCTTCTTTTTTCTTGCTTTGAGGTAGTTTGCCTGGCACTTAGCTATATATGAATGAGGGGTTAGGGCATCTATAGTTTCAAGAAGCTGCTCAACAAATTCGACTACAGGCATCGTTTGTGTGAACATCTTGGTTCTGTCTGTTGTTTGCCATTGTTGAAAACATATATTATCTTTATTAGTTAATGCTGCTTCTACTTGAGATCTAAGGGCTTCCTTTCCTGGGCATTCGTTACATCTATGAATCATACATGTCCTGCTTTCCCTGCTACACACAATTTTATCTATCATTTCTTTATAATCCAAGTCAAGCGTGGCTGCTTGTACCATCAAGATAGCATTCTGGTGAAGAGTACATACACAGACAGTATGTGTACCACTGGCACCAACTGTAACACACCATTTAGGTCGAAGAGAGCAAAACTTTGAAAACCCAATGGTAACATCAGGATGATGTTGTTTAAAAAGTGCATACAGCTCTTTGATATTGCAGAGAAGTAATCTTTTCTGTTCATGCTTATTTTTTCCCACACTGACTGAATCTTTCATACCAGGCATCAGTCTTGAAAATTCATCATCTTGGAAAAAGGAAGTGACAAGGTCAATTGCACTTTTCTGCAAAGTCCTACTCCCTGTTTTCTTTTCTGGCATAGCTAGTATACCACATGAAGCTCTTATTTCTCTTGACTGTCTTACAAGATATTCAGATACCCCAAAAAAAGAAGAGGCATATGCAACTGTCCATGATTCAGGTGTGAGCGTTAGAATTTGAACTTTTTCCCTATTGTTTAGCGTGGAATTTTGTAGTTTTTCTTTAATTTTCTCAGTCAACTTATCCAGATCATTAGCCTTTACCCTGATAGACTCTGATATATTTTCATTTTTCCCTTCTTGTATTGAAGGTAGATGCCATTCTTCAATATTTGCAGCAGCTGCAAAAGATTTTTTGAATCTATCCACAGTTTTTTCCATCTTTGAAGTTGCATAGGATACACGCCTATGCTTTGGCATACTGTGAGTTTTTATTGGAGAAATGTCCATAGTCTCAAGGCTCCTGTTGAGATTGGATCTTTTCTCTGACTGTGAAACTGAGGATTCAATTTCAGAAATATCAGCATCCACAGTATCAGAAATTTGAATGTAAGATGGTTCAATATCAAATGCAGTAGGTTGTTCATTACATTGTGCCATGCCATAACATCTCCTACAAAGCTGCCAACCAGGAACACATTCAAGATTCTGCATTGACAATTTATGTGCCAAGTCCAGTGAGATCTTGTGGCCACCCTTAACTGTATTCTTATGTACTTTGAACATGTTACAACATTTAGAAATTTTTTTCTCAAAAATTGAACCCCACTTTTCTTCATGATGAAAACAAATCCTCAAGTTTTCAGAGTCAGCTACTGAACCTTTCAGCCCACTTCTCCAAAGGAATATACTCCTCTCATCTTCTGAAAACTCAGAAAGGTTTTTTAATCCAATTTGTTGTGTATATGAGGTTTTATGACAATCGTCATCTAAATGTATACCAATGTCACAAGAATCCATACTGAGGCCAACAACTGAGTATTTTTCTCACCACCTTACACTAGTACTGTTTCCTCTAAACTAAAACTTCATAGCAATGTCTGTTTATTTAGACCTCTGTAAAGAACTGTAATATTGCTGTTTCCTGTCTGTCTAGTTATTATAAATGAGATGACAAGGTGTTAAACAACATATTGGTAATACTTCCTGAAACAGGAAGCCTTTCAGGAAACCACATAAATCAAAGGAAGAGATTTCAATATTAGCACCTAATAGAGAATGTCAACATTACTATCAGAATGCACAAAAAATATTTTCGTCTTAGATATTTGGAAAGTGGGCAATGGCTCATATTTCTAAATACTTGATATAGTACAAGCACTCTCCAGGACCATGTAAAAGTTTTTACTGGCCCCAAAGAGAAGAAGTTTGCTGGGTTACAGAGCTAAACAATCTATGCCGCATTGAAGCTCCAATAACAAAGACTGCACAAACTTATGACCTTATGAACAAAGATGTGTGAAATATAAATGAATTGCTCATAAAACCAAACTAAACCATTAAATTAAGTGCTTTATTTGCTTTAAAATAATTCTGAAGAATATGTTTTAGGTATTAAGTATCACTTTGGTTCCTTTGTTGTAGACTGGGAAAACACTATTTATTGAGCCGGAATGGAAGTAACTCAAAAAGACAAAATCTTTCAAGCTTGATTACTAGTTTCTCCCTTAGATGCAAATTAGTTCTTTGATATTTTTTGGTAGTTCCAAGCATGCTCTTCAAAATGGTATACAGGAAAACTGTTGACTAACTTGGAGACATCCCAAAATAGCCACTCGAACATTTCAGATCATCGTGTTTGGGAAAATCATATTAGTCATTTTACAGTGGAATAAAAGATAAACTATTCAAATTATGCTATTTCTAATGCCGTTTCTGGATTTCTCAATATCAATTTGTATATGTCACAAATTTTCAAAATCACAGTGTACATAGAAATCGTTAAACTGTTCTTTGAATACGGATTGTCTTTTGATGTGCGAAAATTAGGGCGGACCACGCCCATATTTCATGATTATTTTAATTTGTCATAACTTTGCAATGGCTTAAGATATTGATCTCAAATTTTGGGAAATTTTGTTTTTTAATGATACCAACAGTTGATATCAAATTCAGTTAATTCTGGGATGGTAGGTTACAAATATGTAAAAAATCTGATGATTTCATATGGAATGACCCAGACTCCTATCCATCAAATAAACTGCCATAACACTGTAGTTGTCAGTGTGAACGAAAATCTTACAAGGTTTGTCAGATTTGAAAATGTTCCTTTAATTACCGTGAGATTATCAACTTGGACAAACTTATATCATAGCATAGTGCGTACGGGCCCACAGTCTCATGAAAATCTATAATAACCAACGGGTAACTCGGCGGACATTCCAGAATTATGTTAACACCAATAATAAAGCCCAGGGTGCTATTTGAAATCATATCACGATTTAAGAAAAGGTACCATTTCATAATGGCAATGCGATAACGTGTTAGATAACATCTCAGAGAACTGCCTAATGCGAACAGAAGTCTGACAAACTTTGTTAGCCATGAAAAAGTTTTTTAATTGGCATGAGACTATTGGGCTATTCCATTTGATATCTGTACATGGGGATGGAAGTAAAATTCCAGGGGGGTCTGGCACAAAGGATATTCAAGGGGGTATCAGACAAATGTATGCCTTTTCCAGGGGGTTGAAAGAAAAAATATATGAAGTTTTCCAAGGAGTATTAAAAAATGTACAATTTTTTCTCAAATGGGTTAAGAAAATTCATTAAAAAGAATGACATTAATTTTCCGGGGGGTTGAAAGAATCAAAATCAGAGTGGTCATGATCTTCAAATTCACTTTCCGGGGGATATATGATTAACAGAAATCTTACTTACATCCCCCTGTATAGAGAAAAAATGGAATAGCCCATTGGGTTTGACAAACATTATCATATTTGCAGTGCGAATAATAAATGGGTCCTATATGCCAGAGCATAGTGCGAACGGGCCGGTATCAATGACCACCACCTTTAGCGGTTCAATACTTTATTCTCTCTTTGTAACTTTTCGCTTGTCATAGCATACCTTCGTCGATTCTTTCCTCATCCTCAACATCAGCTTCATCTCCGGACAGTGGATCCATGTGATCTTCTGTCACCGCCATTATTATTTCTGAAGAAACTATTTAATCGAGGCAGAATCTATTACGAGGCGAGTCCAAGTTTCCAGAATACGTTCACAATGACGACGGAGAAGTAGAAGACGCCTACGACGACGACAACGATGACGACGATGACGACGACAACGACGACGACAACAATGATGACGTAGAAAGTGACGAGGATACGTAGAAAACGAGTCGTAGAGAAAGTTAAGGACAACATAAAAGACGATGATGCCGACGACGTAAAATATAACAAGGTACGAGAAGAGGACGTAGAAAAAATGACGTTGTAAATAATAATCTTCTACCCAAAAACAACATCATTGCTAGCAACAACGATTCCAGCAACATCTTGCTCAGTTAAAAGATCATTCAGTGGCCTTCGACGGCTGAAAACATATATCAGATCAACCATGGGCCAAGAACGGCTGAGATTCACATTGGCACTATTTAGCATCGAGAGGAAATTTTCAAACGAAGTTTTTTTTGACTGTAGTCGAATTCAAGAGTTAATAGTAGTATTCTAAGTGATATTACATAAAATATTGGGAAATATTATACATTGCTGCCCTTATCTATGAGAAAATTACATCAAACTTTTAGATCTGAACAGTAGACATTATAGAAGAATCGATAAAGATAGCATGTACCCCCAAACATGTCTCTGATTGGTTTGCTCAACTCTCAACTGACTATTTTTACTTTATATATTTCGGTGAAAAAGAACTCGTAATGTAAATATTCCTATGTCAAGCTCCTTATCACCAACAGGCTCATAAATATATGCATGCCTCTGTACACGGGCAAAAATCCTACCGCCCCCCCCCCTGTAAAAATTCCGCCGTACGCTTATGAACGCAGGTATATGTTATGCAACCCTATATGTCACCCCCGGTCCCATTTATTGTCAAATTTTGCTAACCCCAGCTTAGACTCTAATTTGGACTGTAAAGGTGTGGGGCAACATAAAATAAATTTTTAAAAAAAGGCAACCTCTTCAGCTAGATCCTATCAGGTGGCCTTTGTTGAGATTTAATCACTGCCGTCGGAACAAAATTCATAATTGGGGGGGGGGGGCTGCCCGTTGATTTGCTCCCATTCAGTACACTGTCATAAAGGAAATATAATATATGTTGACAATTATTAGAGAGCTGCAGCCCCTCCCCCTCCCCAGCCCCCCGCTTTCACCTAATTAATTGATTTTTAAACATGAAAAACCTGATAGCAAGAACAAGTCATTTTATAGAAGGAGTACTTTGTCATTAATTTTTCACAATGTCACTTAAGCATTTAATTGATACTGAATTTTTGGACAGTTTCCTCTGCACAAAGAATATTTTAGTGGGCGTTGTCTATTGAATAAGGGCGTAGCCCTGTCCTCACATCAGGACCAACTATTTTTCGCTAGCTTCGCCACTAACCAATACTGATCTGTGACTCAAAAGCTACCTGGCAAGCTTTTTATCCGTTTATGTCACTACAAAAAGATCTTGCAAAGTAATGCCAGGCGGTCTTTGGTTGGTTGGGTGGTTGGGGTAAGAGAATAAGACGACGTAGAATAGAGTAAGACGAAGTAAAAGATTGCGATGTCACGACAACGTAGCAGGGCCAAGGGGGCCAAAGGACTGTGGTCCCCCACTTTTCTTGCTAACTAGAAGTATCAAATCCCCCTTTTGGATATTAAATAGATAACCCACCTTTTTGCACCCCCTCCCCAGTTTAAAATTGGTGGCACGAGCACTGCGTAGAAGATAACATAGGAGCACAGAATATTCCAATTCTGTGATAGGAGCGCCGAAGGCATTTCTGCAATCGAGGCTCCAGTTCGTAGGCCAATTTTTGTAAAGATTTGAAACTGGAGACAGATACAGCCCGAAGATAAGCAGAGCAACAGGAAATTTACCGTTTTGCCTTCAGCAGGTTTGTTTGCAATTTTATCAGTTTAGATTTTCGAAAAGTTGGGTTTGTTGAGAAAGAAAGATGACACGACGACGCATCATTGGTACCTAGTTTCTAGGCCATTCGGTCGAACTAAAGAGTTTTCCTAGCAGCTGCGAAGGTGTATGCAAGGTTACTGCCAAAGAAGTCACTTGACAAGCGTAAAGTTCCCTTATTAAGATTATTTGAGAGCGCAATAATTCGACCAGTCAAGCAAATGTTAACAAACTAAAATCAAATTATCGTTTTGCTTTTGTTTGTAAGTCTCTTCAAAAGTTATATAATGTTATTTATTTTTATAGGGCCTTTCTGGCTCCATTTCTTAGTTTAGGAACATTATGCCATTAAATGTGTCAATAAAATTTCCATGATTTGTTGTCTGTCAGACTGGATACCAATACTATCTATGTCCACCAGAGAACTTTTCATCAAATTTTGTGGCAAAGTGCCCTTGCCAGTTTTGGCATAGGTCCCGGGCTCACCTGTACTTGAAACATAACAAAATTGTGACAAACGTAATCTATTTTGTCCAAACAATATGTGTTAATCTGCTATTCAAGCTTTCATGTCTGTCAAGCTTTCTTGCTGAATTTGTCAACTTTCACCTGACCCTTCAAAGGTTCTGTCGTCCTGCCCTGAAGCACATGACAATGGAAATGTCAGATCACTATTTGTCCGAATGGGAAAAGCTTTCCTTGATTTTGAGTTTGACAATGATCATCCTATTTAACTGTGATACTAAGTGAGCCTAAGCACTATTTTTTTAAAACATTTGGAGATAAAGGTTAATATGAGTCAGTGGCATTTGGAACTTTGTCTAGCATTTTGGTTGCAAATGCTTTTGTGATACAGTTATGCTTAGGTTGATACTTCCAAGATAGATAAATGGCAGGTAAACTGTTAAATTCATCTTCTGTAAAGGGTTTTATGCTCAGACTTGCCAGTAGTTGCCAAAGTCATAATTTTCATTAAAAAATATTTATGAACTTTTTGCCCATAAAATGGAATGAACCATCACCACACCAGCTTCTTTTTCCTTATAACTTGTAGTGTTTTTCATGAAAAGAGCTTATTATTTTGTCACAGAAAAGAATAAAACATGGAGTCAAATGTTCTTTACAATGTTCATGTTGGGCTTGAAACACCTGGAGACCAGCCTCCTTCTTGTGTGGCAAAGGACTATGGCTATTATCATTATTGTATAGATGGCTTCAATGACGTTGGCTGGGGTTGTGGCTACAGAACTTTGCAGACTATTTGTTCATGGGTACACCTATCAGTCTCTATTGAGAAAAAGCCAGGTTTTACCATACCATCTGTGCAAGAAATTCAAAGGATTCTCATAAACATTGGTGATAAAAAGGATGATTTTTTTGGTTCAAAGAGTTGGATTGGAAGCTTTGAAGTCTGTCTTGTATTGGATCAATTGTATGATATACAGTCAAAAATTGTCCATATACGACCAGGATGTTTAAATGTTATAGAAACTGAGTTCTTGAAAGATCATTTTATGAATTTTAAATCTCCGGTAATGATGGGTGGTGATGTTGACAATGCTTCTAAGTGTATCCTTGGTATAACTCATAATTCAAAACTCAGAGAAAGAGAAGTATACCTGTTAGTGCTTGATCCACACTTCACAACAGCTGGTGAAACCACAGCCAAAGATCTACAAAGAGATGGATGGGTTTCCTGGAGAAGATTAAGTGACTTCGATCAGAACTCATTTTATAATTTCTGTTTACCACAAGTTTCAGCAATATAATACAAGAGACAATTTTGATATTTTTCTCTCAGGCTTTTCTCGGGATGTGTCTAGATGCCACTTTCACAAGATGTTGTCTATCCATATCTGTGGAGGTGTTAATAGAGTGGGAAAGTGAAAACAATAGATCTGTAATTAAGAATTTTTTAATTAAGAATTTAGCTAAAAGAGCACTGTGAAATACTTCTGAATGGTCACACCAGCCCAAACTTGTATATGAGTTTTCTGTATGATCTATTTATGAGCCAGGCAAAAATATAAATTAACCAAACTTAAGCTTTTAACTACCCATATCCGAAACAGTTTTAGCACATCTAAGGACGATTTGTAGCCATTTTAGAAAAAGTGACCCAACTTCTCATAACTGAATTGTTTGATATTATTACTTCTTTCCCAAAAGGGTTTCTTGCATAAATGCTTGCTACCCTCGTTACTTTTTTACCTTATTGGTAACTTCTAAAGAGATGACGAGAGTACCAGAAAATTTCAATTTTTTCAAAGATCAAAAGGCAGTAAATTTATTCTTTTCAATATTATTTAATATGTTAGTTACAATATTTCCATTTCACCTAAAGCTGCTATTAATCTGAATTTTTTTCTATCAGATATCTTTGATAGCTTGTTTGGCATTTTATGGTTAGGCAATGATAAAAACTAAAGACTTTATGTTCTTGAGGTTCGAAACTCAGATGCTTTTTAAATATTAGTTCACCAGAATGGCAAGATTTTAGGCACCACCTCGACTGTAAAGAAGGAGGGTAATTTAAATACGGCACAGTGACAAAGAAACCATCAGAAATGACAAAATCAAATTTCCCTGAAAAAGGCAATACCTTGTGTAGTCAGTGGTAATGTCAAGAGTGGGTGGGGATAATTTTCCCAGTCTATCTTTACCAAACTGTAGGCTACCTAATTCATCTAACAATAATTGAAAATTTATTGGGTTGGTCTTTCAGCATGTTTAGAAGAAAGAAGCACTGAAATGTTACATAAAGTGACATACTCTTAAGTTAAACATTAAAAGAGCATAGTCTAAAAATTTTGTTATTTTCATTCCTATATATTATAACTTTTTAGTATGGGGTGTGGAACCAAGGCGTAACCTCTCAGTACTTGCTAATACTGACTGTGACATTGCAATTTTCGTTAAAGGATTGGAACTGTTAAATATCTAAAATCATAGTCAATAGACTTAACTAACTTGAATTGTTTTGTTGGTCATTGAAAGGGATAAAGTTGCCATCTAGTGCTTATCGATTTGTTCTTACAGTGTCTATCTTTCTTAGATCTGTCAAACGAAATGGCGAATCCACTTCGAAGGGAGGTAATTGATTTATACAAACAGGTATGTGTAACAGACTCGATTTCTAATTTTTTTACTACTTATTTCCTATACCTTTTGACATTTATGATCAGGGTCGGCGAAACCAGGGGTGGAGCTGGGGGGCCATGCCCCCCACTTTTCTGCAGAGCTAAAGAAACATTTTGGGCAAGAGTGGAAATTAATGTAGTATATTATTATGTAAGTTACTTTGCCTGGTATTCTCTTGAATGTGGCCTTTAGCTTTATTTTGGTTGCTATGTCTTTACCATAGAAGACATACATAAGATTGAATATGGGAATTAGATCGAAGAAATCGGTCATTGTCTAAGTTTCACAACGAGTAACAGCTTGGTTTAGCAATAGATCAAGAAACCTAGTCCAGAATAACTTGGTGCCAGCACAAATGGACAGAGTTTCGTTTTTTCCATTGCCTGTACTTGGCACAAGGTCCATTGCCTATACAACAGAGAGAAATCAGCTGTTGAAGAAAAAGAAACTGCTGGAAAGAACTTTTTTGAGGATATGAAAAATAAAGTATGGGCAGATTTGTTCATAAAAAGTATCATCAAGAAAACTTCAGAGTTTGATCGTTTGGATAATTCATTTCTACTAAGAAAGAGAAAATATCGAAGCAATTATAAATTCTATTTAAACTCATTTTGACAAGCCTAGTTTGAAGATTTTTCAAACTTTTGTTAAAGCACTTGATTTCCGAAAAAGTTAAGATCAGATGTTACAAAGTTATATCTTAACTGTACAAAATTGCTTAACTTTTTATTTTTAGTTGATAGTTCTTCTGTTGATATTTCAACGTTAATGTTTTTTATTAATCCGTGTTTCATTTTTTTTTCTCCTCCATCTTATTTCGGGTACTTTTAAAATCTAAAAAAAGGTTTCATTGCGAGCTATAGGATAGTGGTTATTCTAAACTTTGCAAAACTTTTCTATTTCAAGTCAACATCACAATAGACGCGACTATGTGACACCTTCAGTCAAAATTCATTTTAGATACAGTTTTTGGCCATTCCTAAGACACCATGATTTTAAAATTTTTCTTGCCGCCATCCGGTGGCGGCCTTTCCTAAGCCCTTTCAAGACTTTGATATTTTGGCCCCTCCACTCCACTTTCAAATACGTTTCGCCGGCCCTGATGATGGGTCTTCTTGACAGTATACTTGTCGATATAGAGTTCTAAAGTGATGACGTGACAAAAATCTATTTTTAGAATTTTTTAATTTGGATCCCATAACCTGAAAGAGCATCATGAAGCACCTCTAAATTTGCAAAATCAGGCAAGTGTATTACGAAATGGCAGAGATATGGCCACATGTTTATTGGTTCTCTCCCCATCAAACCTCTGTATTTTGGTCTCTGTTCATAACTTTATGAACAGAGCCAAAATAACAGTGATTCGTTAGCAAACTTCAAATCTTTCATTAGCCATATCTCAACCGATTTTAGACATATTTGGCCAATTTTGCGTATTTGAAAGTATTTCATGGCGATCTTTTACGCTATGTGGTTAAAATTCAAAAAATTTAAAAATAGGTTTTTGATGACGTCACACTTTAGAACTCTATTAAGCGTAGTGTCTAGAATTATTGAGCATATATTAGCATATTTTTATTACGTAATTGATTTGTGTTGGTCTTACGTAACCTTTTTTCTTAGCTATATCACCTTGGCCGAGATTATCCACTTGGTTTTGACTACTTTCGAAAGAAGCTGAAAACTGCATTTATGAAGAACAGAGACCTGTCAAATCCTGAGGATATAAGGAAGATGATAGACAGGGGAAATTATGTCATAAAGGAACTGGAAGCTTTGTATATGTTAAGAAAATATAGAACCCTTAAACAGAGATATTATGAAGAGGATAATACGACCCAGCAGAGCTGATGATCTGATGATTAGTCTAATGTATCTCTTGCAAGTATTTTTATATGCTCAAAAGCAGGTTTAGAAACTCCATTTAGTAGCATCAAGAAACTCCGTTTTATTGCAGTCTAAATCAAGTCAGAATTCAAGGAACATCCTGAGTCCATATTTTGTATTTAGTTATCACATTTAGCTTCACTACCATGCTATCTTTGGCGGAATTAATGGCCAAGTAATACCCCCTGTTGTAATCATAGGTTGCCATTTAACACGATTGAGGAGAATTCCGATAATTAGCAAAGCATAGGTCAGATCAACACTCGAATTTCAACTCCATCGATCTTTCTCGCAAACACTACTCTCCTCTCTCTAACTCGACTCTATGAATAATTGTGCAAGAGTCGTAACCGTTACCATGACAACTTCACAACACCCTCACCCTCACGTTATTCCCTTCAGCTTGATTTCAACCACTTGTATGAATCTGGTGATTGTTTAGACAGCTGTCTTGTGAGATTTCTGGCAAAGATTTTTGTAGAAATGCGTGTATTTGTCATTCTTGTGAACTTTCTGTAAATAGAGAAATTTGAATGCAAAAACTCTTCTGTCGCTTTAATGCCATTTCAAGTATGTAAATGTTATCGTTTCTTGGTATAGCTGTCGTTCCTGAGTATGTGTAAAAGTTATCTCATAACGGCAATTGTTGGGGCCGATGAAAGAAAGAAATAGGATAGAGAACCCAGGGGGCTACTCCCATTAAGGCCTGACAGGGGGGTTCAGTCGATTTGAGGATCTTACCAAATGGCCCAGTTTCGATAGTGACACAACGGCTTAGTTTAGCTTGCGATTTATTATAGACAATTAACAAGGTTTATTTCTCCCTAATCAACAACAGTTAATGAAATTTGTCAAAGAAGGACCAGGTGAGTACAAAGAAATGGGCTACCAATGACAAAATTTCCATTATGCTACCATTTGAGGGTTATTGTCAAAACACTACCATTTGAAAGCGTATAACCCCCCTGTTAGGACATAACTGTAGTAATCTCCCGGGGTAGCGAATGGCCAAGTGCTGATACTTTCCAGTTACCATTGATGTAGATTATACCCGGGGAAAAGGGGTAAATTCAATAGACAGGGGGAAAAGGGGTAAATTCAATAGGCAGGGGGAAAAGGGGTAAATTCAATAGGCAGAGGTCGGGGCTGTGCCATTTCGGATTATAAAAACATACCCAATATTTGAAAAATCAAATAACTCAATGAAGGATGTGAAAACATATGTGATACTCCAAAATTTGAGGTCTTGCTCAAAATCCAAAAATTTATAACCGTGTTTGATTTTAACAAATTTGAAATCCTAAAATTAATTTTCTTCTTGAAAAATTGTACTCCAAAAAACGGCGCATTTATTTGGAACCTTATTTATACTGTGGCCATAATGATAGTCAGATACAAGCTCAAATTAAATAGGATATACAGGGGTGAAGTGGATACACAACTACATCAAGTCTGTTTTTATCCAAGATTTTCAGGGAAATAGGGGTAGAGGTAGACCACCTTTGAGATGGCAAGACCAGGTTAGAAAAGACACTGGTCTTCCACTAGCAACTGCCATGAGGCATGCTCAAGATCGCCTCAAATGGGCTGCCATTGTGAGAGGTGCCAAAGGCCACTAGGCCTACGCCTTTGATGATGATGATGATGATGAAGTGGTGGGGGAGGGGGCTCACGGGGGCGCATCCCCCTTATTAAAATTTTCGAAGAAAGTGGGGGGGGGTCATTTTCCCCATTGTTTGGTCTTGGATACAGCCAAGAATCATACAACGCAAAGTAAGCTGTGAAGAATTGTTACGGCCAGCCATTGATGACTAAACAAGAAAAGGAAAAAAACAATTGGCAGATTTAAAGGCATCGTAGGCTTTATATGCATGAAAATGTACACAAAGTTTGAAATATACAGATGGAAAATTTTTGAATGATTTCTTACCGAGTACGTTTAGTTGCAGTTCTGTATAGACAGTTGGTTTTTTGTTACATTTAGAAATGCCTGATTCAACAACCAGTTATTTGACTATGTCTTGTCTAGTTTTTATATTTCATGCATTACACATTTTTTTATTAGAACAATACAATTTTCTTAACACTGGATGCTCTTATTCTTTGGATAATTTTAGGCTCTGTTGTTCTCAAAGTTGTCTTAATTTCAAAATTGATTATTCAATACCTGCAAACTATGAATGCTTTCCAAGTCCACTGAATCACAGTTCTGTATGACATTTTTAGTAGCAATGTTCATTAGCTGATGAAATCGCCTCTGTTTTGTAACCAATGGGTGAATTGTTATTTGAAAGAAAGTTCTTTCTTATCGATGCCATAAACATTTTAGATGCATTTCTTGCCGTTCTTAGAGGGCCATATCTCAACATTTTCGCCCTTCTCTTTCCACTGTATCGAATCTCCCATCTCAGCTGCCGCTCGCACACGGTCAATGTACCTGACTGCGCAACCAATGTTCGGTAAAACGTCAACCCTCACCATGTTCAAGTTGCAATAATCACATGACAAGAACAACTAAGAAAATTCATGAAGCCCCCCTTGTTAAAATTCTACGACTACATCCCTGGATATGAGCGCCTCAAAAGGATGGAAACAAACGAGGGTCTCCCAGGAGTTTTGGGGAACAGAGGAACATAGCAAAAATGGTACTGGAACTTGCTAAACAGCACTCTCGCTAGCACCCCTATGAACGTTGGAATTGTCTAATTTCCATACTGCTCGACATGATAGTCATAAATAAGCATGATTAATTATTCCAAGTAAAGGGTTAGGGAAAGGGTTAGCTATTTACGTCATCAGGTCGAGCAGTATGGAAACTAGACAGCTCCATGGACGTTCTGCTTTCGCGCCACGGCCTCTCTCTGGTGATGTTATGATCAGAAATATGGCGACTGCGGAACCGAAAATCGACCCATGTGAACGGCTTAAAGAAGAACACAAAGTATGGAAACTGCATCATCCAAAGGTATGATAGTTTCTTAGCTATTTTTGTGATCTTTCGTGAATTATTGAAACATTTATTTGTTTTTGCGCTTCCCTATTTAGTAATATTATCTTGCTGCATAGAAAACATACTCAAACCAGAAGAAACCAACCTGATGCTTGCTCCATTTGTTTAAAAGATAGCTAGATACGCATTGAAAGCTACAAGTTCTTATCTGGTTTATCAACCACCTTTGTCGGAGGCCCTGCATTATTTTTACTGGCATTATTTATTTGAATTTACAGGGGTTCTCAGCTGAACCACGTAAAGATGAAAATGGTGTGACAAACTGGTTACTTTGGGACTGTGGTATGGCATTTCTTATTTGCCCTGAATGCATAAAATGGCCTTCTAAGCTGCCAGGGTGCATTTCATGTTAACATGCACCAGGGCATTGGTTTAGGTATGCCAAAATATGAGCACTTAGTAAAACAGAAAAATTGTACGCCAGACAAAGAAAACTGATTAATAGAGAAAACTGTGGTGTATGAGTCATTATTTTATACTTTTTCATGTTATGTTAACCATGTACGTGGATTCTTGTTTTACATCAAGTTTTACAAATTCCAACAAAAATTTTATTGGTTTGCACAATGAACATAAAAAGACCTGAGTGTACGCCAAAGATCTTCAGGCATAAATACATTAAAGAATGCACCCTGGCTAAGCTGAAACTATATTATCTGTTGAAGCTAAGGAGAACAATAAAATTTGCAAACTGTTTGTAAACTTTAATCCTTGTTATAAGCTGTGTATTGAATTTGTCTACTTTTCTCTAATTTCTTAAAAAAAATTTTCCTCATTTGATGAGTTTTTGAAATAACTCCCACACTTGTTTCAAAGTTTGCATGCCAGTAATGCCAAACATATTATTAGAAAATACCCCCATGCAATAGAAAAGATGTGTCCCAAAACAAATTTCAATAGCCCTCCCACTGCCAAATTTAGCTTGAATATCTTACTCAATTAGTTATGTCCAATTGGACATGTGATTGGTTATAATAGAGGTTAGAAAAAGATATCAAGCTAGAGATACCAATCTATTATTTTTAGAAACATATCGTTGTCTGTATTTCTAACCTCCCATCATTTTTTCAGCCATTCCTGGAAAATCAAAGGTAACTTGCTTGTTTCTCTTTGTTAGCTTATATATATCCTACATTTACAACTGCTGCAATTACAAGAACATGAAAATTTGAAAATTATCTTGCTAATGACATCACCAATTTGTAATTGCAAGAACAATAATTACAGGAAATGTGAATTCTTGCATGTCATTCTGTTAAAGAAACTGTGTCAATTTGTTGGTTAGTTACTTACACTTGTTCTCCCGTCATTTCTATATAAACTCATTCTTTGCACATAAAACTAATGTTTTTATATTTTGCTTATATACCAAAATCAGAAAATAGGTATAAACTCATTCTTTTTCATGATGAAATTTATCAAATTCAATTTGACCATATAATATGCCATTTGGTAGCAAGTCAATTTCTCAGCCCTGCCCCCATCTCAGAGATTCCCAATCTCAGAGATTCCCCCTCTTCAATATTTACTTTTTTAGCTTTTTTATTATGGTATTTTTTATGCAACTTACTTTAATCAATCATGATTTATATTTTAGACACCATGGGAAGGAGGTTTATACAAATTGAAAATTAAATTTAGTGGAAATTATCCTTTTGAGCCCCCTTCCTGTAAGTCTTTTTCATATTTGCAAAAATATTTCTATAAAAGTAGAATTATTTTTATCCAAAAATGCACTTCCCTGCTTAGACATATGGCTTGCTTTTGATGCTGAGCTCCAACAATTTTTTTAATGTTTTGAAAATGAGATGTCAATGTTTCATTGTTAGGGCTTTTGAAGAAGCAGTATTTTATTGAGAGGCTCTCAACAATTTGAATATGAACATTTTGTAAAGCTCTCATAAATAAATAGCAATAACAAACTCAAAATGTTTCTTCCTCTTCCTATAAATGCTTGACTATTTATTTTTCTTTCATCTGTATCTCAAAATTGTAGTGAGATTAGCTAGCTTATTTTGAATTGCAGAAGGGTTGCTATGTTCCATTGTTTCATAAACCTCTGAATTTTTTTTTGACAATATGAGTATATAAATAATAATTTTCATTATTGTTCAGGCTATTTTGACCCTCCAATCCTCCATCCAAATGTATTCCCATCTGGAACTGTTTCTTTGTCATTGCTGGACAGAAACAAAGGGTGGAAGCCACAGATTACAGTGAAACAGGTAATGTCATGCTGTTATTTCATAAAAATGGTTTTTTTAGCAACAAGTCATTTCATTAGTTTATTTTATGCTTTGGAAAGCAATCTGACAAAGTGTATAAAAGTCAATGCAATGTGTAGTAGTACTCAACAGCATCAATTTTGTATTCATTTATATTTGACGAGAAAATGTTAGGGGAGGGGTAATATTTTGTCAAAATATTTTTTGACACTGTTCTATGATTTTGAAACTGCCTTTACGTAACCAAAAGTGTTTATACTCATGAGTGTTTATTGTTGTTCACTGTTGGTAAGTAGGCATTTTATTGACAATAAAAAGGTCATGGTAATGAAATATGCATTTAGCCACCCTCCCCCCCCCACCCCACTGCCTAGTGGCTGACACCACACTAGTAATATTGTAAGAAAATGATGTCTCATTGATTTGTCTCTAATCTCCATTGAGACTAACACTATAGCATATTTTTAAAATTTTGCAACATCAGGTTCTTCTTGGCATTCAAATGCTCTTAAATGAACCAAACTTCCAGCAACCGGCACAAGCTGAAGCATTTGCATTGTATGCGTAAGTGGACAGAAGCTGTGTTGTTACCTTCTCTTTGCCAAAACTAATTTTCTAATTTTTTGTGTATAAAACAAGTAACTACTCAGATATGACATGACTTTTCAGACTGAACAATTGAAATCTTTTATCAAAATTTATTTAAGACATTATTAGCTTTTATCAAAATGTATTGAAGAACTTTACTGACCCACTGTCAGTAAAGTGTATGCTGAGTTAGCAAAAGGTTACTACTGTTAATGCTCACCAAATTTGAGTAGTTTTCCCAGCAGTCCCTATTTCTGTTAATTCTTGTTAGTGTCCATACATCAAGTCACTAGGGAAACCAGTCAGCTTATTTCCTTGTTTTATCATCATCATTACCACCATCCTGACATCATCAAATAAGATTAAGGGATCCATTTAGATCATTTGATGTTTATCACTATTAATTAAATTATTTTCATTTTAGGCAGAGTCAGTTGACATATGAAGACAAAATTAAAGAACAGGCCTGCTTAATGGCTGCAAAGTAGTCCTTCTGTGCACATTCAGGTGAAGGTTAATCAAATTGAAAAGTTTTGTTTGACTTGCATGAATATTATTTCTATTTTTGTTATGCAGTAGAAGCATCTTCTTTCAAACCTTGCTTTCCTTGAAGTGTTGATGAGATAAGCACCTTTTAAGATGCAATATTCCATATTCAATTTTGACAAATAAGCTTTACCAGTGCATGACTTTTATAATCTTTCTGCATTTTCCTTGAATTGACTGTAAAAGCTAGAAGATGATTATACCAGCCTACATGCTGCAATCACATGCGTTATCACAGATAACATCTGCATAAGCTAACTCTGCTGGATATTTGTCCATTATTACCTTGTGTAATCATAAGTATTTTATACAGCTATTCATTGTCACTTTTATGTTTTTGTAGGGTCACAAAGCTACCTTCAGTCCTCATCAATTGTAACTTCCCCATTCATTCAAGACACTACACGACAGTAGACTTTCAGGTGACAATTCTGGGTGAAAGTATCGAATGTGAATTGACAAGATAGATATTTTGTACGACTCAAGCTTTGTGTTGGGCTGGATTAATTAAAAAGATTTAGCAAGGATGCTTATTTTGGGTTAAGTTGAATGGATCTCAATTTTTAGTATCATTTCTAAAGTTCTAGCAAAAAATATGGTTTGGTTTGGGAAAGCCCTTTGAGAAAATAATCTGCACAAACAAAAATGGTTAGTGTCAGTTTTTTCAAATTTTAAAGTTTTTAAAAGTTGTTAAAACAGTTTTTCTACGTGAATAAGTTGAGATGTTAAATTGCACATAGTTGGTTTGAAATCTAAAAGGAAGATTGGGTTTCATAGTAACAGGATGGCTAACAATGAAAGATATTGATAACAATAACTTTGTTTTTGCATGGTTATTTACTTTAATCAGCTGTAACTAAAAACGTTGTTTGTAGTGAAGATGAATACAAAATGGCCTATAATTTTTATGGGATCTCCTTCTGTCTTGATGTAAAGGATGACTAACCATATGAAACAGAATTGAGGTTACTTTGGCAGATAACTCGGTGGGCTTCTGTATAAGATACAAATTTGCTAGAATTAAAGTGTACAATATTTGATTCAATGTAGCATTACTGTCCAAATATGAAGTTGTTGAAAAGCCTCTTTCCATACCCTTCCTGTGTTATGACCAGATGTATGTAAACGTAACAATTGCAGCAAGTAGCCTTCCCATTCTACAGAGAGTTCAAAGAGTCTTTTATCAAAAAGGTAAAAAGCCCCCTAGCTCTTATACGTGTGCCTCGTTAGAATAAAGCTGATTTCAGTTGCCCCTTGTGCCCATTGGCTGTTCAGTGGCATAGTTTCAGTAAGACCTTTTTCTTATTCATGACGAAATTTCTCAAAACTTGTTGAAATATATTTTATGACAGCTGTTAGACCATTTTCAAGATGCCTAAAGAAAATCGAAATATAATAAGAGGAAGAAGCTAGGTTTTTTTCAAATGCCCTTTGGCTGAAGCCTGCCTCCTTACCCTGGCGATGCCAAATTGCTCTAGGGCCTTAAGATCTAGGGGCCTAACAAAATAAGAATTTCATTCGAAAACAGAGTTAACCAATCTAGCGAAAACAGAAAATAGGCTCCTCAATTTTGTTGGGTGGGCACTTAACTACTTTACTTTAAGTCTCATAAATTTGAATGCACTCAAATGTCTTATATCTCTTTACAGAAAGTAAGCGAAATTTCTAGACAGAATTATAGCGCGCGTTAGAAAACAAAGGAGACATTAACGAGACACGTTGCATGCAGCTACCAAACTCTCTCTTACAAGTTTTTGCTCGAATTATTGTGTGACTACCATTAGTAATTATTTATGAAGCCGTTGCTGAAATTGTTGATGAAAAATCAACTGGTTTTGCCGCACAAGAACATTCTCAAGCGTTTAAAAGAATTTTTCCCGACAAATTTTGCTGTAATTTGATGCAAGCGCGTGCGCAGCGCGTTTTTACAGCGATGCGTAATGATAAATCCAACTTTGGCACTTCAGCAAAGCAATAGTTGACTCGCGTAAAGGCCGGGTTAAGACGGGTTTACACGATCGTTTTTTCTTAATTTTTTTTCGATATTGGACCGCGATGAATGACAACGATCGTGTAAAAGGCTAAATTGCTGAAAAAAGTTTGATTCTATCTGTCGTTTTTAATCCACTTAATTGGCGATAATGATCCATCGTTGAAGATTTTATTTTGACTCCGGGTCAAAATAAAATCTCTACCGTCATTTTTTTTCAAAGGGGCCGACAAATTCTGACGTCATGTCAGCCTCGGGGAGAGAATTTCGAGACTTTTTACTAAGTATTCGCGTGAAGAAATGATTAGATTCATGCTCTGAGAACTGAAATAGACCGGGAAGGTAGTTTAAACGGGCAGGGGACTATTTTTAGATAAAAAGAGGTTCGGGTTTCTCAAGTTTTCTTTGAGAATGGCCCGTCATTAGCTACACATTAAAAGATTTTGAGCAACAGAAATAGAGAACAATCCATCCAATAGCCAAAATGATTTCAGACTAAGAATGCATTATGGGATGCTTACGTAACGCTTATTGTTACAAAATGGCCCATTGTTAGCTTACTCTAAAATGAAAGGAAGTGGAATGTTGAAAGCAGTGCTTTGTTCTGGGAATTCCCCTTTTCCGTTTCGAAACCAGGTTCCTTGTCGTAGCTGGCATTTCATTTCATAGCTGCTCGAGAGAACGACGAGGAGGGATTCGCTCATTTGAAAGCCTAAAGATGAAGTGCTATCATTTGATTCTGCTATCTATGCAAATTGTGAGTAAATGTTTATAATGTAGCCCTTATTTAATGTGCGATGATCACCAATTTGTGCAGGAGTGATAAATCGAGAACAAAGTTTGCACAGGCCACCTTCTTGAATGTTGATATTTTGAAGAATCAATCATAAAGAAATATTTTATCAAGCCTCTCTTATTTATCTGCTCTTAGGGTTTCCGTTTGGTGACGACTTTTCGTTAATGAATCTGTTAAACTTCCTACTTTGGATATAAATAGTAAATTATTGATGTTGGTTCGAGGCTGTTCCTTGAACGTTACTTAAACTGTTTTATGCCGAATACACACTGATTATCAGGGGTTGCCACCCTCGAATAGGTGCCCCCTCAAGAGGCCAAAGTTTCTAACAAATGCCCCCCTCTCGACTAAGATCCCCTGAACAATACCTTTTATTGCTTTGGCTTAGTTGGTTTATGGCTAAATTCTGGTTCCTAATTTGCTCTAATAAAATTGTCAGGGGCGTCGCGACCGGGAGGGTATGGGGGGTGTCACACCCCCAATAGTATCTCAATAGGAAATTTAAGGTAAAATCCGCTCGGTGGAAGAAACGCTTTAGGTATTTCAGAGACCTTCTTGTCATGAAATCAATAAAGAATCAAGCAAAGGCAGTTGCTCCGTTGGTTAAATATGATATTCCTTGATATGATTGAAGGTAAACAAACTAATGATTTGAAGATTTGAAGATTGCTCGTTGGCAATAAATCTAAAAATCCAGGCCCTCTTTAGGTAAAATTGTGCCTTGTCTCTATTTCTCCTAAAGTTTCTCAGTAGAAGCATCAACTGTAATTCACTATGAGCTCCATTCAAAAGGCATGGTAAGATGGAGAGAGGGATCTAAATTTAGAAGTAACTGACAACCTGGTATTTTTCAAGACCACGGCGAAATTGTTGCTTTTATCTGCTGTAAAAAAATTTTACTAAAAAAATAATAATTTTCAATATGATTAGGAGGATTCCTTTAGTGAAATTTGCTTAAAAGAAATCATTTTCCAGTGAACTGGAAGCATCAAAATTAGAAAATTTCCTCCTCCTTCGGTGGCAACCATGGTGCCGCCTCAGGTAGTAACTATATCCTTTGCCCGTCCCGATATAGAGATTTGACAAAACTATTAGGAAAGTCCGTTATTAACATACAGAGTTATATTGACAAAATGTATTGCAGAGGTTTGTGACAGCAGCTAAAAATTTTCAGGCAATAATTTTTTAATCAGGTAAATTTGGGGCGAAACCGAAAGAAATTTTTAGAGGGGTAAAGAATTTTTTTTGCAAACAAAAAAGGGCGTGTCTCACTCTTTAAGGGTGGTCAAAAAATTGAATACTCTTATATGATGTTTTTATGCGTTTCAGTTTCAAAGTTCGCACTTTAGTGCCAAACTTTGAAAGTTCAACTACTACAGAAATGTTAATTCTTTACAATTGTCGCAAAAACATTACAGGCTGAGTACAAAGATTGCTTCTTTTGCCCGGCAAAAGTCCTTAATGTGCTGACGGACAAAGCGTTAGGGGGTACCGCACCCTATACCCTCTTTGGCGACGCCCCTTGTTATAAATGCAACTTTCAAAACATGGTTATAACTGCAGCTTTCAAAACATTTTCCCATTCCTGCAACAAGTGCCTTGTCACTGATACTGGCAAGCTTTTTTCGCCAAAACCTATTGGTAAAAATCAATTTTCGTTCAAGCATCGGTTTATTTCATTCTGTGCTTGCTTCCAGGGATGTGCCGATAGGGGGCCTTGGGGGCGTGGGGGGCGTCAAGCTCCCAAATGTCTGTAAACTGCAAGAAAATTGGTCATGAAGCGGGATTTTTAGCATTAATTAAATAGTTAACTTATTTTCTTAATTTCACTTAATTTCTTCGTAAAACGTAATTTCCTTATAATTTCATACCATTTTTTTTCTTCTACTTTCTTTTCATTGTTAATAAATTTTCTATGGAGAAATAGTTGGTCAAAGAAGTTAAGTTGGTCATTTTTTTCTGAACGCCCCCCAAGCTAAATTGTCTAGCCACACCACTGCTTGCTTCAATTGGCAATTGGCATAACCTATTTTGAAAATGATTACTACTAAAAAATCCTAAATTATGACCTGCATGACTGCTAGAGTTGTTGATGCAGTTATCCCTTCTCAGTGCATGCAACTGTAATACATTTATTCAAGATAACAAGTAGTTTTTCGATTCGCATCGCAAATTCTGACCCTATATATGTGTTGAAGTTTTGTTGCTTCGATGATGTTCATCCAATACGTATTTTCATCCATGATAGTGTCCTTTAACCCATGTTTTTCTTACATTGATTGGTTCTGTCCTAGGGCTTCGTGCAAATTTCATTCGCTTCTACGAGTTATTCGTTGTTTTATCTAAACGGTGAATCGAATGAAAGTCGGGCAATTATTTGTCCAGTATGTATGCCTGGCTATGAAGCAGCTTGGCAGTGTGTCCAAATGTCACAGACTGATTTGAATTCCTCGTGGAATAAAGCAGCACTGAATCTATTCAAGACATACCATCATTGCACACCCTGCCTATGGGGCACTTTTTCCACGGGGCAATCTATCAATCAAACTTGCAAAAGATGCTCGTACTGCCCGCCCCAACACGTTGTATTGCAACGATGTACTTCGGTGTCTGACACCAAATGCGCCTTCAGAGGACATTACCAGCCATTCACTGAATATACTGGCCTTCTCGTTAAGGAAGTGACCCCCTTTGCAGTTGTGACCTCGGCTTCGGCAATGACATATAGTGAGTTCGATTTGCATTTATTTACTGAAATTTCTTTTCTTCTTTCTTTTGTAATGTTCTGAATTCAATAAGCAGGGCTGCTGAGAGGGGGGAGAGGGGGCAAATTGCCCGAGAACCTCGAGATCTAGAGCGCCTAATAAAGAAATGAATTCAATTTTGAGAATGGAATTAATCTAAGGTAACAAAATTGGGCCTAAAAATAGTAAAACGTCTTAAACGATTGCAAGAAAATGATTGTAAAAAATGATCTGAAAAATATTTTAAGTTTATCAAAAGGGTGTAGTCTTTAAAATTATCTGCTCGCTTCGCTCACGGGAAACCTCGTTTTTGCGTTTTATGAAATATTCAAATTGCCTCAAATTTTCAATTTGGTAATCCAAAATCCACAAGTAAAACAACATCAGTAAAACTTCTGCCACAGCTCTGAAGAGGTGGGGTGGGAAGTTGGGGGGGGGGGCTGATTGCCCAGTACAGGTTGGCCACGTCATGAAGAACTCCCTGAGGATCCGCTCCTTATACCATCTTTGCTAGGTGTCCTTGGCTGCCATATTTCCAAGCTTTTTCTTGCATTTTCATTCTATCTAAAGTATGTTCTGTTGTTTTCTAGCTCCTGAGAGGAAGGTTTTGGGAAACGACAGAATTTCTATGACTATATCATCAATTGTATTGTTCTTCAGTGTGATTCTCGTTGTGTGCTTTATCCCTCTAATTCTAAAAATGAGGAGAAAATTTGGTACTTCAAAGAATGCTAATGTAGCAATGGAGGGCATTGTTACTGTTACAAACATTTCCCCAAGGCAGGAGGAAGAAGTGTCGTATGATATCATAGGAGATGGTAAGTTTTAATTATAGTGATTATTTTCACAATCATCAATTATTTTTGTTACAGTAACCAATGAAACCACTGGAGCTAATTAATAGCCAATCAAGGCATTCTATCAATAGTTTACTTTAATTACGACAAGAACTGTAAAAGGGAAGTAATAAGGTAATAGAAATAAGCCTAAGAACTTAATATTTTATTTTGGTACATATTTTTCTGAGGCTACCGTTGATTCCAGGGTTTTGTTTTTAGAGAGGACAGTGTGAAACAATTCCAGCGGCTATAAAAGAGCAACCTTTTTGGGGTTGTGGAGTCCTGAATGGCTAAGCCAGGCTTAACGCATCCTTAGGATTGAACCATATCTTGGAACAATAGGAAATTATAAATAGATATGTATATGAAAATTACTGTCCGTGCTCAATGATGTATAGGCACAGCTGTACATGCTTATATATAAATGTGTGTGAAGGCATTATATATGTGTGTACGCAGTGCCTGATGATGGCATCAAGCGTGAAGCTCGTCTGTGCAACTTATAGCAGTCCTATTCTATACACCAAAGCGTGTACAGCTCTGCCTATACTTTTCGAGCACTGTATGACAAACCGGTAAAAAATTAATTTTTATCATATATGTGTGTTAAAGAAAATTGCACCTTGAATTTTCTCTTACTTCAACACAACTTTCGGAGCCAGGGCAATTTTAAAGCTCTTTAGCAGAAAAGAGAAAACAGCAATTTTATAAGAGTGAGAGAGGAAGGGCAATTTAAACCAAAAAGGTTCTGCTGGGCTGGCTCGATCCTTTGTAAACGATAGTAATCTGTGGAGGCATCAATTGTACAGAGTTATTTTATAGAAACAAATGTTTATGCTTTTTTATAGGCACTCAAAGAACAACGTCAACTATAATATCATGGGAATGCTCTGATACTTTCACTACTGGCAGAGACCCATCAATCAAAGTAAATCTCGGAACACCAGAGCCAGAAGACGAGAAATTGAACGTTAGAAATATTTTCGGATCTAAAAATTCTTTAACAGATGAGTCTCTAGTTATTCATCAGACCTTTCATTTTAATCCCTCTTGCCAAGACTTCCCCAGCCAAAGACATCTTTCTTATCTGCTTTCGAATGAAGAATCTTCAATAAATGATGCTATTGGTCCTAATGATTTAGACATCGATGACCCATTTGATGGCCCATCTATTGGTTTGAACATTGATAGGAATGAAGTTGACGATAACCCAATTGAGGCAGCACTGTTATTTGACCCTGAATCAACATCAGAGGCTTTCAGTGACATGGACATCAGCGGCCTTTCGACGAGGTATGTATTGTGTTCTCTTCAATGAATTCAAGGGGTAAATTCTGTAGTACCCCCACTCTCTCTGACCACTATTTTTCGACCACACCTATAGAAATCCTGCAGCACGGAGTAACGTTTGTGATTTACATACACTCGTTTCAAGGTAATGTCTTAGAAAACCGTTTTGGTATTTTAGCCGTATAATTTGACAGGCATATTAAATGATTGCACATCTAAAACAGTCAAATGCCGAAAAATTACTCTTTTCCTTCTTTGCTCAAATTTATATCTGTTTAAGATTTTCTATTTTTTGTTTATTCCTTTGCTTTAGCCTTTTTTCCGTTCTATCATTTGCTAATTTTTGTAGAATTGGATCTTCGATCGACAGCGAAAGCTACGATGAACCCAGGATCACTTTACAAAGATCTAAGTTCTTCGAATCAACAGGAGGGTACCTTGATATTGAAGGAACCTCGGTTTCAATCCGAGTACCTAAAGGTGCAATCCCTGAAGGACAAATCAAGATGATAAATGTCAGTGTTCATATTTGCCGCCCAAACGACTGGAAGGATTTACAGAAATCTGGCTGTACTACAGATCTGCCATTGGTTGAGTTAGGCCCAAAAGGCTCACGATTTTTAAAGCCTATTGAGGTCATCATCCGGCGGCCACCTGGCGACGAGCTGGAGAACGCCACCTTCGAATTTACAGAGGAAGATGTATTATCTCAAGACGCTGTGTGGGTATCTGCTACAAAATGCATAAGTCGAAGACAAGCAAAATCGACTGCCAAAACATGCAAGCCCAGTGTCTCATTTTGTTTTCAGAAAGAGAAGCTTCATGCATTCTATCTTCACTTTACTGGTGGCAGGATTATGAGGAAGAAGCCGAAATGTAAATGGATGAATGCAAGTGCATTTTTTAAAACACATGGTCTTCTTGGTAACTGCCTTGGGCTAAAAATCGTTTTTTGGGAGCAGACACCTGAGGGCGAGACGGTATGGCCATTTTGACAACTCCCTTCTTTTAAACTCAACCTTCTCCTGTTTTGCCTTCTTACTTGGTGAGCAAGACTGTTAAGAAAATTAGTATGACAACTTTTGGGCATCAATTTTATTATACAGAATGCATACACTCTTTTTTTATAAGAACACTGATGCTCGATTTGTCCAAAAAATAAGAACAAGGCTAGAACATGCTCAGCTTCAGTGGAGAAATTTAAAAAAAAACAATTCGAATTTTGAAATTTATGTCACGTCAATAGAGCAAAACTATGCAAGTTTGTCCATAAACACTAGCAGTCATTGCTTTATTTTTAAAAGTTACCCAGTAAAACGTCTTAGATCAGTAAAACATCAGTAAAACAGTATTTAACGTCTCAAATATTTGCAAAAAATCACTCTTTAAATAAGAACGATTTTAAGAACATTTGAGCCTAAAATTATAGAAAAGTTAAGAACATGGAGGCTCGGCAAAAATTATCTGGTTCTTATAAAAAAAGAGTGTACTTCGAAAACCCTTCTAGACTCGTGCTGTCCTTCTTTTCTCTTTCTATGAATCTAATTATATAAACACCGTCACCTTGAACGTTTGCTTGGAGTGCCAACCCTGTATTCAACAAAACCCTTCCTTTTAACATTTTTTTAACAGATGCTCAATTATTATTGCTCAAACTAGGGGCAGTTTACTGTTGCAAATAGCTTACGAGATTTTCACGAAAACAAATATATTTCCTGGACTTTCAGATGAAACAATAGGATTTCTAAGAAGATGTGCGAGATGTTCATTGAATGATTTGCCCATCGGCTCATTGTACATAATTTGATTATAATTATGCAGAATGTTTGCCTATATTAAACCTAGTAGAGACTATTGAGGCCTTTTTATAGTCCTTATAGATATGCAGCCCATTAATAATGATTAGGATAGGCAGTATGAAACTCCCATGCTCGCTCATGCTATACCTCTTAACACAGAATAGAGAATCTCTCTTCTGTCCATTTACGCTACTGTAAAATTTTCCCAAATAGAAGTGTACATAGTTTGAGCTTATAAGAAGCGCGTGACGTAATTTTTGATTTAATCTTTTACCTCTATTTACAGTTGATGAAAAAGGAAGCTGAAGAATTTACAGAAGCAGCACTTAGTCGAAAGGCACTGAAAGTACAAAATGCCGACAATTCATATGTCGAAATAATAGTTAAAAAACCTAATGAAGATTGGCCTTTAGAGTTTGGGGACTTAAAACAGGTTTTTAGATTTTATTTACCATTCTTTAATAAATTGCTAGTGACTGAGTAAGGCACCGCACAGCCATTGGGCTTGAAGGGGATAGAGCCCCACCCCCCCTTTTTTACAATGATATATTCGAAAAAATGTTGGAAAGTTTACCCAAACACAACTTTGGAGAGTTTAATCTAACGGATCCTAAGTAGTAGCAGTTCCTCTTGACTGGGAATTCTTTTTGTTCATTTCTAGGTTTTTAAAAGGGGCTTTTCCGGCGTTCTGGGGGGGCGAGGCCAAAAGAATTGCCTGGCCTTTATCTGAACAGGTTTGGGTTTCGCTGGCTTTTTTAATTTCTCGGGTTGGATTGTCTTCGGGCAAATCAACTTCGCCTTTAAAAACTCCCTTGCTATTATATAAAAGTCCTTGAGAGTTTTCTTTCCAAAAACTGGTTTGTGTTTTATCTGATGGACTCAAGAACAGGAACAATGATGCGAGGAAAAAACTGGTAGTGTGATATTTGTTTTATTAAATTTACATGACGATTTAAAGAAAGAAATAGGTGTTATCACACAACAGTAGGGCCTGGATCCAACATAGAGGAAATTGTTTCAAAACATAAAAACAGGGAGGGGTCTTGTTTCCTGTACCTACTGTTAGGGTGTCACCCAAAATGATATCTAAAAATTGAATTTGATTTGTTCATATCAGACCGGTAGGGAAGGGACGCAGTGGCCCTATTGCCCCTGGCCCCGAGCTGAGAGGAGCCCTAAGAAGTTATAATTAAGCTCTTACATATAATGGCAGCAATAACAACTACAATTTTAAAGACGTCATTACGGATCCTACCTTTTTTTGCCTCAGGCCCCAGAGAATCTATTGTTGGGCCTTGTTCATATATATAATTCAGCTTTTTGTTGAGATATATTACTTCGTTTTACAGGACTGTTCATTTGATTCAGTTTTCGACCCAGAGTGCATTGGAAACCTGCCAGTAGCTGACTTTACATTCCATAGACGATCTGAGGATTTGGTTAGTTTTCGCTGTTTAGTTGATATTGTACAGAAAGGAAAGAAAGAAATCGACTTGAAAGTCATAATCAGCCAAGGTATATCGCAAAGCCTGATTCTATTATGTTTCGTGATTAGTGATTTTAGTGATTTTTAGTGATTTGATCATATGACATATCATATGAAGGATCACACGACAAATATCTTTTAAAACACATTTTCTAATTTCATTTGCTTTTAGAAGTTTTTAAATACAACTGTGTAAAAATTATTTTTTCATTTACCTTTTAATTTGCAGGTCTTCGTCAGCTTTTTAGCTTAACCATGACCTGCTGTGACAAATATATTTATGTTTGTACGTATGCATGTAATCAATATGAGCAAAATATTTGTAGAAAGTAGGTGAGTTTGTAAGACTTTGTCATGAATACTGTAGCCTGGGAACCTGTGCCATATGAATTCGTTTGCGGAAAAAGAAGAGAGGATTAGACAAGCGTTCAGGAAAATAATACGATTTTCCCCTGTAAGGTATCTATGGCTTCGCTAGCTTTCTGCTTAAGGGGGGGACCCTGGGTACCAGACTCACTCTGGGTGGGGGGGGGGGGTTGTTCCTGCTCCGAACCCATTTGCAGACAAATGTGCCGACAAAACACACCTAGATGGTACAAAACCCCTCGTTTTTACAATAAATTTTTTTTCAAGGGTTTGTCACGACATCTCTCCCACACCTCCTTAGCGAAGGCACTGAAGGTAGACCCTGTATTGAAGACACTTTTGCTGAAAAATCATATTTACACACAACAACTCTACTTGGAATCGTACTCTATATTGTTACTAATTTATTCTATATTTTTCAATGTGTCTAAAGAGAAAAATACATTTTCTAGAGTACCTCGAGGAGAAGTATAGATCTTCTCGTTTCGGCTCCACCTCTTCTGGGTTTTGCTCAATGACAAGCCACCAGGCCGTCCACGTGATATATGACCAGTCCTTCAAGAATGTTGAACCGAGAGAATATCTGCGACGAACATTTCTCAAACTCAGCGAGCATATTGCAGGATGTTACGAAAATTTTGCAAGGTAGTTCACATTAATTGAAATTTTCACTTCATTTTTCAATTGAATACCATATAGGTTTAATGTTGAATCGACTCAAAGATAATTGATGAAAATATTAATCAATAAAGCTAATAAAGATGGTCACATGGCGATAACAAGATCTATGAATAGGTCACTTTTTTATTTCTTGACATTTTCAAGCAGTTATGCACTTCGAATGCAAATGTATTCCTCTGCAAACTGAATGGAACTTAAAGTGGTGTAGGCGACTAGGAGTTGTATGCGAAAATCTTTTTAATTTCTACCGACTACCATGTTGTAAAGTCTAGGTCGGAGCATAGAGAAATTCCATTTGTGAGATTATGTATGTGATTTTCTTTACAAAATTGTGCTTACTACATACTCAGCCACAATAGCCAACTAACTCCTTTGAGGTCATGTGCCGAAGCGATTTAGCACGAAAGACATGTCAACGCAGTGGTCGACGGGAGAAAGACTGGGCACCACCCTATTCCCAGGACTCGATCGCTCCAACATACCATCCTAAAGTCAAACAAGAAGTTTTTTGAATGAAAAACCAGTCGGGGACTACATGTTTCCCACTACGCTAACCTGTGAATGAAAATACAGCGGTATAAATTAATCTATATTTGAAATCATTAAAAATTAAAATAAAATTCAAGTTTTTCAAGTTTTTTGTGTGAACCGGCGGCCTTTCGGTATACAAACAGCGCCAAATGTTGAATCATTTATTGTATATACCAAAAAAATATCAACCAACCAACTTATCAGTCACACAGATCAACAGAATGATATCATCAATCTATATTTGAAAGGACAGTTGAATCCATCATAACAAGAGTATGACGTCACCTGACGTCATTAGAGAATATTTTAAGAGTTTTTGAATTTTAAACAATTAACTTGAAAAACATAACAAAAATATTACACGTTGCCAGAGATATGACCAAATAAGCACCGGCTATTTCCCTTTCAAACTACTATAATTTGGTCGTGGTACCTAAAGAGTTGAGAAAAGTGGCCATACCCTCAAGATAGGAATACTTCCTCAGAAAAACAACGAAAACTAGGCGGCACTAAAGTGTGGCATTTAAGCTGTTTTGGTTTGTAAGAGCCTTCCTCGTGGTAGCTGACCGTAATGACCGTCATGTTTTCTGGACTGTGGGCAGCAGCCGTTTTAAGCGACTGCAGGGCCCAGGGCCGAAAACATATGCGGGGCTTTTGTTCTTTACAGTTTTCTATTTTTTTCTTAGGTGAGGGGCCCCTTTTGGCTACCATAAGCGCGGGGCCTGAGACCATGGCCCCCTTGGACCCGCCTAAAACCGCCACTGACTGCGGGTATAGACATAAATGATATAAGCCAGAACAACAGTAATTATCTAGAAACTTTATGTCTTGCAATGCTAATATCAAAGCCAATTGATAGCAGATTTTCCATATTCCAAAATGATAGCCTGGGAAAAATTGGCTTGGTGGCAGTTGCACCGATGTGGTGTTGCAGCTATAGGGAAATTAAGGTTGACAAACGTTTGATGGTGCTGTAGATGACGTGGCTTCATTGACATCGGTGTTATTTTCTTATTTGTTAAGGCACCTCGGCATCAAAGAGTGTCATATTGCAAATGTGCAAAAAGACCACGCTGGGAGATCAGTCGAAGCATGCTATGTGCTGTTAAAAGATTGGTTGAACGATCATGAATCTGGTATGCTTTACTCTCAATAAATTCGAAAGCGCGATTTTATTTACTGCAACTATGTTAACTTCAATTTAACCTTATCTTAAATTATACTATTGACGTCATCAGCCAATTGACTGGTGGAGACAAATATAAAGAGATTATTTTGAAATTATTCTTGGTTCAATTTTTAATGAAGGCTACGGCTTTCCTTTTTTCGTAATTTTTAACCTTTTTTCTAATAACCTATGCAAACTTTTCTAATACGTACATATTTATAACACAAGCTAAAGCCTTCGTTTAAAAAATCGTCCATTTCATAACTTGATAATGGCACAGAAAAGAAGAAAAAGCGTACGAAAATTTTTTTTGTCCGACACTCCACAGAGTATGAATATCGGGAGGTAACACAAGGGAAACATTCTATCGAGAAGTGGATCGAAAACTAGATCAAGTCAAAAGCAACGAACCAATCCAGCGGGCCATTCTTAATCTCATGCTACTTTCGATCCGCATCTGGATAAAAATTTATGTTTCCTCGTGTCATTATCCAGCGTGAGCAGTGTCGAACGAAGAGTACTTCAGTATGCTATTTTTCAGATTTCCTTTGCAATATTAAATTTGTTTTGAATTTTTTGTATTTGTATTTGTTTCTACCTAGCATCCGAAGGTAGTTTTTAGGACATTGAGAAGCTTATCCTTATCGAGCAGTGTTCTGGGTCTGTTGTGACTTGGGCGGAACATAGGTGTGTACCACAGAGAGACACATGCTTTCTAACAAGAAGATATATATATATGATTATACTGATTATTTATACTCAAGAGAGCGAACCTCTCTCCATGCCTCGTGCATCTAATTCTAATCAATACTGGCGACGGGAGGGCGTAATGCGAAGAGATGCCGGAAATGCCAAATATGGTAAGACCTTCTCACCATGTGTCCCGGAGCCCTGGACCAGAATGGAGGTTTTCTGTCTCCTTCGCAATACACTCCCCCCGTTGATCGTCTAGCGATCAACCATTACTACACGATTATACGAATGAGTTCTAATCATTAACTATAAGAAGATTCAAAAAACAACATAACAATGATACTTTGATAAATGTAGCTTGAGCTAATGTACGTTTGTGTCTCTACGAATTAATTCACCTATTATAGCAGCATTTCTCTTAGGTCTACCCTTAGCATTACTTGTTAGCGGCTCGTTAGTAGGGTCTGCTTGCGCATGCGGCGCCTCTACAGTACCTATACTTTGTGTATTCGCGTTAACCTCTAATGGAATCAAATGTTGCAAAGGTCTGTTAAGAATTTTCTTACCATTAGTTGATGCCACTTGAACCTTTGCTCCTCTAATATTTCCGTCAGCACCTACAAAAAACTCAACAACTCTGCATAATTTCCAAAATGCTCTTTTACAGAAATCATTCTTTAATATTACTATATCGCCTACTGCAATTGATGGTTTATCGTGAACCTGTTTTGGTTTATAGGCTTCCATGAGATTTAACAGATAGTCCTTTCGCCAACGTTCTGAAAATTGTTCGAGTAATTTGCGTTGGTATTTCGCGCGCTTTGACAAAGCGGCGTACGTATTCACTATTTCAAAATACCTCTCGTTTGGACCCTGCAAAAGATTGCGTCCATTAATGAGCTGAGATGGAGTAAGGGGGTATGAAATACCTTCACTGTCATCATGTAGATATGTTATAGGCCTAGCATTAACAACTGCTTCTACTTCTGTAAGTAACGTGCTTAGTTCCTGGAAACATAAACTAGCACGCCCTATAACCTTCTTCAAGCAGCGCTTAACACTTCTTACCAACCGCTCCCACATTCCTCCCTGCCAGGGGGATCGATCTAGGATAAAATCCCATTTTACTCCCCGGGTTTCTAAGTAGCTGCTCAACTTAGGACTTCGAATTAATTGTTTAATTTCTTTGGACATTGTTTTGAATGTCTTAGCATTATCGGATATGATCCTTGTTGGTAAACCTCTGCGAGCAGTGAATCTGCGGAAGGAGCGAATGAACGAGTCGACATCTAGGGCTTCCACGAGCTCTAAATGGACTGCACGAGTTGCAGCACACGTAAACAAACAAACATAGCTCTTATTATCTGTTTTCCCTTTAGTATAAATACCCTTATTCATCAAAGGGCCGGCAAAATCTACTCCCACATTGCTAAACGGGGGTGAATCATCTACCCGTATTTTTGGCAAGTCGGGGGTGACATTAAATTTAAAAGTTGGCCCTTCAAACCACTTACACTTGCCACATCTCCTAATATGCTTTTTTGCCATTTCTCGACCCCTGAGTATCCAGTATTTCTGACGAGCGCAGTTTAACGTTTCTGATATTCCATCGTGGAACACCTTACTGTGTGCCTCAGCAATGACAAGTTCCGAATAATAACTTTTCGACGGTAACAATATTGGCGTTTTACTTTCATTGACAACGCTTGCATGCAGAAGTCTTGACTTACACCTCAATAATCCTTGTTCATCAGTGAACAAATTAAATTGGTTTACCAGGGGTGGTACCTGCTTACTTTTCGATTTTCCTATAACAAATTCTATCTCCGAGTTAAACGACTGCTGTTGAATTCCCTTTATTAATACAATTTCTGCTTGACTGATCTCATCTGCTGTAACCCATTGATCTAGTACCAAATTTTCCTTGCGAACGGACGATCGTAAATTGTTCAAAAATCTATGCACCCAAGCTAGAGAACGCAACAGCCTACCTTTACTGCTAAACCTGTTTATGTCTATTATATTGAGAACACTTGACGTTTGTTGGCCCTCAGTACTTAAATTTACGTGAGTGACTTCTGATTGTTTTGACCCTCTCTCCTCCGCAGCGGCAGAAGAGGAGGACTTGGTAAATGCTTGTGCGGGCCATTCCTGGGGAGGAAGATGTAAAAACGGCGGGCCCTTTAACCATAAGTTAGCACTGGATACCTTACTTAGATTTTTACCCCTAGAGGGTAGGTCGGCAGGATTTAGTGAACCTGGACAATAATGCCATTCTTCCCTTTGCGAGACCTGAATAATTTTTCTTACTCTATTATGGACATAAGGCTTCCAAGCTCGATCGTTTTTTATCCAGCAAAGAACCGCAACCGAGTCTACCCAATAAAATGATTGAATACGTGAGTGACCTAACTCATCCTCTAGTGTGGTTCTTATCGTTTCTACTAACTGAGACATTAAGCAAGCTCCTAGAAGTTCTAACCTAGGTATTGTCTGCCTTTTCAAAGGTGCTACCTTGGCCTTTGACGCAATGAATTTTACATCTACTTCCCCCGAGGTGTACATAATGCGAAGATAGACAACGCAAGCGTATGCTTTCTCACTGGCATCAGAGAAGCGTGAATTTAAATTTTCTCAACCGTTTTTCCCTCTTGAAAAACAAAACGAGGTAGTTTTACATTAGGTACTTCATTTAGCTGCTTAAGAAGCGAATCGAATTTAGTCTTATAAGAACCCTGCAGTTCCTCATCCCAAGGTAATTTAGCCTCACATAATTCCTGAAATAGAAGTTTCATGTTAATAAAAAACAAGCTGTAACATCCAAATGGATCAAAGATTTTCGCTGCAATTTTGAGAACGGACCTTTTAGTGGGCGGTAAAGATTTTGCGAAAATAGCGACACTGCCAATAGGAATTATCAATAGATCGCTGTCTGTATCCCAGTTTATGCCTAAAATTTTGTTGCTGTTTGAGGGCATACCGACTTTATATTTACTATAGGATTGATCATCTTCTTGAGCCTGTAGAGAGATGTTAGAGGGGGTACTATCACAGAGAGATTTATCAGCTGGATTTATCTTATCTAATAGAGCTGTCTTATTAGAGTTCCATTTCCGAAGATTGAAACCACCCTTCTCCATTATGGCTTGACAATTTTGATAAATTTCAAAAGCTTCGTCAATAGAAGCCGCCCCGCATGACAAATCATCACAATACAAGCGATTTAACACCTTAGTCGATTTAGGATGTTGATCTGCAAATAAATTGACATGATAGCGAATCGTGGCACCTAAAATGCCAGGAGAGCAAGTTAAACCGAACGGAAAGCGTTTTATTCTGAATTGAACAACATTTGGAGACGCTGAATTGACGTCATCATACCATAAAAACCTAAGGGCGTCTCGGTCGGAATCCTTAACTTCTATTTGAAGAAACGCCTTTTCTATGTCTGCAGTTAAGGCAACAGCATGTACTCGGAAGCGAATTAAAGTTTCGAACAAAGGTGGTATAAAATTCTCACCTACTTCCAACCTATCGTTCAAAGAAAGAGAATTTTCATTAGAACAGGCGCTTCCGTCAAAGACAACTCTCACCAGGGTTGCCACTCGTAGGGATTTCTACCTACAGTAGGGATTTTTTGCCTTTTGTAGGTTGTAGGGATAAACCTACGGGATAAAATGCAAAATGTAGGTATAAATCGCTAAAATTGTAGGTATAATCAAGATTAAAGAATTTTCTTTGGGTAAATTTTTATTTGCACAAGAAACATTGAACTCAATGAAATTCTCCCTGTCCCTGGTATGCATCTCGCGTTCAAGGTTGATCCAACACATTCTCTAAAATAAATTGTAACAATACAAAATTGAGAAACAGATTGGCAGTCCGCACGATTGAGGCCGTAATCCGAGTTGGTGAAGGGTTCCCTGGATGTTTGGAAGTTAGTGCTAGGCTATCGTCTCTCTATTCCAGTGCCAGAGGATCATATATGGAAAGATACAATAATAATGACCGGGAAGACGTTGAGAACATTGAACAGTTTGACTGACTATTTACCTGAAGCAAATTTCCCTTGCCTTTTCTTTGGTTTATATTTTTTTAACTGCTACTTGCATCATATTATTATATTATATCGTTCTAAAGTTATACCAGCTTCATTAAAATAGACAGGTTACAAAGCGAATTGAGTTTTTTTGTCATTGTGTGGGTTGTTTTCGTGGGTATAATTTCGAACTTGTAGGGATTTGTAATTGATAATTTGATAATTTGATTTGATAATTGAGGAAAAATGCGTAGGGAGAAAGTAGGGAGAAAACGCATGCGCTGTAGGTATATCTGGCTTTCATACAGTGGCAACCCTGACTCTCACCTTCGTGGACCATCACGAATCGTGGTAACTTTATCGTCATGAAGGACACAATGATGGCCAATGAAATGACTGTTTTCATGTCTTAACTGTTTGGCACAATTTCAATGATATCATTAGTTAACTGCTCCTTAATAATAGAATCATATTCCTTGAGCAATTCTGGTTTACCCTTCAATCGTGTGTAAACTGACTCGAGTCTACCTAAACACATTTTATAATCAGATGGTAATGGAGAATCATAGTTTTCCTTCCAAGGAAGGCTTACCGAATACCTTTCACCAGTAAACTCGATATCCAAGACCTTTTTGCTTGAATTCTCTGATTCACCGTCATTTTGTGATAAGCCCCCAGCTTCGTGTTTCCAAAACGTTGCTAGAGCTTCCTTCAATTCCTCGGTTTTTGCAGGGTTTTCATTAGTTTCCTCATTCTGAGCTACGAATAGAGAACTTGATCGCATTTCTAAGGTAAGATGAGAAACAACATTAGATGACAAACTCACTTTCGCCTGGGATTTGTCCTGATAGCAACCAACCCAATTTACTGCTTATTGCAGTGGGACCCGATCCTCCCTTCAAGACATCTCCCAATACAAAATCAAAATAACTGTCAGCGCCAATGAGAATATCTATGCGATTAGAACGTCCTAATTTGCGATCTGCGAGCCTTAAACCATGCAAATGCGAAAAATCTACGATATCTAACTTTGCACCTAAGGGTGAACAAATAACGGGGTTAGTAAGCGCTGTAATTTCTACACTCTCGTTATCTTCGGTTTCTAAATACAACTTTACTTTACTGCATTCAAAAGGTTTAAACTTATCTGAACCAAACGTGTTCAATTTCAAATTTTCTTTGCTAACAGTGTCCAGCAACAGTGGCGAAGCCAAAGGTCCTGCTTGTCCTGCCGGGCAGGACCACAAATTTCCAAAGATAACAATTTTTAAAATATTAAAAATTTATTCATTTTATGAAATCATTATATGCCTGATTCAAAGGCATTTCTTGTCTTATTCTACACTTATACTTCGTGGCTGTGCCCTTTTTCAATTTTGAGACACAGGGTGACTGAAATGGAATTTCGAGTATCCCGTTCGTAAATTGATATCGTCAAAAATTTAGCCCTGTGGTCAGTCCTGCCCAATACTCGTAGGCAGGACTAAACCCTATGTTTGGTCCTGCCCAACAATGGGCAAACGCCTTGTAGCCCTGTTTTTGGTCCTGCCTCACAATAGAAGAAAACAATGGCACTCCTGCCCTTCAGAAATGGCAGGACCTCAGGTCCTGCTCTTTCATGAAGGCAGGACCTAGACTTTGGAGCCCTATGTTTCGGTATAATTTGTTGATTTTCTGCACCGTGGTCACAGGTCACAAAGAATTTTCACTCAGGCCATAGTCAGGCTTAACTATTTTGAAATCATGGATAAAACTAACTGTAACCGTCATGATTCTGCTGTTGAAGAAGTTTTGCTGCTAGAAGCTTCGGCCGTCGTCACTTGATTTATACAAGAATCAATCGTTTCAAGACGAGTGGTACTTATTGAAATAAAATTGTTTAGAGTCGTTCTGTTGGTCCTATTTACTGTTATAGGTCAAGAATATCACAGACATCGCGAGAAACCTGACATTTAATAGTTTTCTCTCAGACTGCAGAGAGCAAAGGAAGTCATATTCGATGGCCTATTATAAACAGTAGAAAAATTTAGCAGCCGCTGCCGAGAGAGAATCTTCGTTTTTTTGTACCAGGAAAGTCGAGATCGAGGGGAGATGAAGTGTGCATGACAGAAAAAGGGCTTGCTTAAATTTAATTTCAGCAGTTCGTCCTCCTGCCTTAAACAGGAACTACCATACAATTCAGAGGTCCCGATGAAAAGGACGCTTTGAAAAGGATGAAAAGGAAAACAATGGTAATTACTGGGAGCTTTTGTACTCGGTGACTCAGATTGTATTGTACTGGCAAAATGTCAGGGGTTTCCTTTGATATTCAAAACAAATTGATTCAAGACCCTATTTACCTTGCATCAGACATATCCATGTTGTGACAAAATATTTTTACTTTTTTTAAATAATTTGAATCCATTATGTTTCCAGTATGTATTACAACTGTATATGCCTATCTGTATTTCTTTTTAGACAATGATTTCAAAATTTTCAATCAATGAAAACATTTTCAAATGTTACTTATTTTAGAAAGAACTTTTGTGATGCTCTTTTGACAAGGATCCGAACCTTCATCCCCTTTTTTCCAAAATGTGGCAGTGAAGAATGTTTCACTGCAATCTTGATTTCAACATATCCAGAAGGGCGTTTCCCCCTTTTCCGAGGGTCTCTAGGGCGTGGCTTCACGCGATTTTTCTGGGGGCGTAGCCCCCAGACCCCCTTTGAGCAGGACCACCTGTTCTTGGTCAGCTTCGCCACTGTCCAGCAATAGTTTCTCCTTTAGTTCTTCTCGAATGTATGAGCGTTGACTGCCATTGTCAAACAAAACTTGAACTTCGATCTTCTTGTCCCTGTTTTTTCCATACGCATACGTTGTAGCTGTTTGTAAGAGCACACATCCCTGTTGCGTAGCGGTAGCCGTGATAAAGCTGTCTTGAATTTTTGCATTCTTCGGTGGCTTATTTTCTGCCCTCTCGTTGTGTGATTGGCACAGAGATTGGTGATGGCGTCCCTTGCACTTTAGACATCCCCTTTGGCTTCTGCAGTCTTTTAGCAAATGCCCTAAATTCAAGCAATTAAAGCATCTCCTTGCCTTCATGAGAATACTTTTCCTGTCTTTCACACTAGTCACATTGCCGCATTCGTAGGAATAGTGGTCTCCTTGACAATAGTAGCATTTAACTCCACCTGATGCAATAAAGGATCGAGTTGTTCCTTGTAATGATAATGGCACCTTGGATTGTGGAGGATTCCTTTCATGCCGTCTAGTCGACTGCGCTATGTTGTTCGCGATCTCCCTCGCTTCAATTTCTCTTTCGACGATATCAAGAATTTCTGTAATGTTCCAACAGTCTTCTGTCCTCTTTCTTGCGATTTGTATCGTAATTTCCTGTGGGAGGCGAGACATGATGATTGGAATCAAAAGGTTCCCATAACTTTCCGAAGGTATTCCCAGTGACTGTAATCCGCGAACGTGAACAGCGATATTGTCGTATATCTTTCTGAGATTTTCCAGTCCTTCATTTAGATGGTGTTGGAGCTTCAGTAATTTTTCCATGTGCGCATTGATTATCTGGTGTTTCTTCCCGAAACGCGATTTAAGAATTTCGATAGCGTGTTCGTAATTTACTTCTTGTAAGGCCAAACCCTGTACTGCTCGATATGCTGGTCCCTCTAACAGACTGAATAGATAGTTCAGCTTGTTGATGCTTGATAAGCCAGGATTACGTTGCACTGCGCATTCAAAACTTTCCCAAAATGAATTAAATTGAGTTATGTCACCACTGAACTTCGGTAAACTTATCTTTGGGAGCTTCACAGTCGCATGAGCACTACTTGAGGCAATACTTCCGTTCAAATTTCGAGATGGCGATGCTGGAGTAGGCCCCCCGAGTGGAACTGCTTCGTGCTGTGTTTCACTGCCAACCCTTGCTGGCGACGGTATTTCGAAACTTCTGCCCGCCATGACATTTTGAGTGGTGGGTAGCGAGAATGAGCTGCGATTTTCCCTTTGGAAATCTTCGATACGACTAACTGCTTCGTGAATTTTTGCTTCCCATTCCGAGGAATCTTCGACTTCGTTTTCGATTTCCTCAACATTGCACGAGTCCAAGACCTTACTGTCCAAGTCTCTGAGATACAAAAGTTTCTCGTTTAACGAAACTTTTATCGAGTTTAAGCGAGCGATTTTTTCTTGAGATGATTGAGCACTATCGATAATAGCAAAAGCTTCTCTATAAAACTTCGTAACTACTGAGCGATTGCCTCTTCGTAAGGCCTTCCACCTTTCCAGGCGGCTTCGATCCTCGTCTTCTTCGGACGACATTCTGCGAAAATAAAAATGGTATACCTACTGCCCCTGCCCCACGTTGGGCGCCATATGTTGTGACTTGGGCGGAACATAGGTGTGTACCACAGAGAGACACATGCTTTCTAACAAGAAGATATATATATATGATTATACTGATTATTTATACTCAAGAGAGCGAACCTCTCTCCATGCCTCGTGCATCTAATTCTAATCAATACTGGCGACGGGAGGGCGTAATGCGAAGAGATGCCGGAAATGCCAAATATGGTAAGACCTTCTCACCATGTGTCCCGGAGCCCTGGACCAGAATGGAGGTTTTCTGTCTCCTTCGCAATAGGGTCCTTCTTCTCGACCTTGTGATCCCTACGCCTAGAATTACAGAGAACTGGCGACTCTCCTTACACTGGGTGAAAGTTTGGTCATGCCAGGGACTCGAACTCTGGACCCTTGGGTCTGTAGTCGGCGCCTCTAACAACTGAGCCATCCTCGCACAAATTTTTTGATACCAAAAGCTTTTTTTGTCTTTCCATTATCTACCAAAGTTGTTTTTTAAATTGAAAAACACTGTTTACTTGAATAGTTGTTTTGACATAGAAAAACAGTTATAAATTGCAGGGTAGGCCAAACTGGGAATCAGGTAGACAAAATTCCCCTGTATTTTTTAACAGAATGCTTTGTGTATAATAGATGACTAGTCATTTTCTTCTCCTTTACTCCGAGAGAGTAAATTTTCCACTCCTTTTGAGAGCTTTTAAAATGATTGAATTTTGCATTACTTTCAGTGCCGAATCTAAAGAAGGAAGTCTTGGACAAACTAAGGAAAGCATTACAGGAGACTCCAACGACGTGTCAAATTATGTTGCCTTGTAAGGGTTTGCGGTTCTTATAGATACGATTTATATATCATATTTTATCATATTAAGGCCAATGTTTCACAAAACTACTTCTTAAACAACACTGTAACATTCACAGAATTTTTGCCGTGCAGAAGTCGATGAATTTTACCGATCATGTTTTACATATCTGTTGCAAGATCTATTGGTGATATGACAACCAAAATTGTTGAGCAAAGACTGCCTCCATATTCTCGGTTGCCTGTTTTTAACCTGAAATTGAACTTAGAAAGAATGAAAGGTGAATAAAGCTTTTGAAAACGACGATGAAGCGTGGATGAAGGGTCTTGCAAAAATTAAGACTCTAAACTTTTGATATAACGATTGAAGGTTGAGTCTTGGATGAAAGTTTGAAGAGATGATTGCAGTATATTATAAACTACAATCAACGATGATTATTTAACGAAAATAAAAGTGTAAAATCTTTTCCTTGTTTCAGATGCAACAGTCGAGACGACAGTATAGAAAAACCAAAGGATACTAGAGACGACTTTATGCGTACTATATTCGCGTTACGTCACGAGAGATCAATTGGCTACGTTGAAAAAGTGGCAAACAAATTTTTACATTTCAGACTATTGTTGTAAATAGTTTTTTAAACTTTTAGAAACCAAAATGTATCGTAGAATAGTAAATTCAAATTCAAAATGTATCGTAGAATGTAAATTCAACTCTGTCTTATTCGAACTTGTAATTTAATGTAATTTTGACTTTTACTAATTCGAACAAAATTATTTGGTCCCTTGAAATCTCTTAATATACCGGGTCCCGCACCACTGGGGTGGTCAGGGGGCCTTAGCCTTCCCAATTTTTTTGCTAAATTAAAGATTAAACTCAGCCAGGGCCGATCCCATAGAGGGTGTGGGGGTGTAACACCCCCCCCCCCAAGAATAGGTATTTGTGTTTTAGTCGGTAAAATTGAGATTTTAGTTGGTAAAATTAGGATTTTGACCGCCGTTCGTGTTGTCGTTCGTGTAATTTTTAAAAACATTCAAAGAAATTAAAAAGTTCTGCAGTTCAGTTTTTCCGTTGATCCAGAAGAGAATTTTCAGGAACATCACAGAAGACAATCTGACAAATACAGAGACAATTTTAGCCTGGGAGATGCATTTTTAGCCATTCTAGAAGGCTTAATTTCAAATGTGGCCCCGTCTCTGAAACTGCGAAGTACCATGCACCAGGTCGTCTACATCTCTTACGCTAATTTCGTGCGAGAAATACATTTGACAGAACTAATCTGCTATCAAGAAGTGGGTCCAGTTGAAGAACAGAACTGTTTGATTCAGTGTTTCTAAAGGTTGAATAAACTACGTGACCACAAAGCTTATTTTAGAACTTTCATAAAACCAATAGTTTTACAGCTGAAGTTGCTTTGTAATAGCTGAAATTTAAATACGATTCTTTGGAAAAAATGCATAAGTCGAACATTTTGTAATTAGAATGTGTTTGCGATCTCCAGCGATTTCGAATTGCGTAGAGTTGACTGATGGGGTGTGTCACTCTCTCCAAACAGCGTACACAATTTTTTAGAACAATTTTTTGAACATCAGATTTTGAGGGATTTTGAGGGACTATTCTCGAAAACAAAAAGATTTTTTACCAAAGGCGTACGAGATTCACATGGAGTGATATGTCCCTGTGAGCTGACTTTATTATAAAATATAATAAGGCTCGTTAGTAAACAGGAAACCTCTGCGGAGGACACGTAAATAATGCGTATTGTATATTGTAAATTATTTCCGTGATGTATATATAGGGATTGAATCGATTTTAACACGAACGCATGAACGGAATCAAAATTGGATATGTTTCGAGAATATACTTTGGACTTTTGAACATCGTTTTTTAATCGTTTTTATTGAAATCTAGATTGTAGATTCACTGTTTCCTAAGACGATTGATTCAAAGAACCTTGGAATCATAACCAGTTTGTTTCTTCTTGTTTGTCTTGAACTGAATTCATCGTACGGGAACATTGCTCGGTTTAACTTTTCCGGGAGAAATTATTTATCTGGCAATGTTACCCATCAAAGCTAACTTTATTTTGCTTTCTTATGCGTCGCGCCACGCGCCAACTTCGTTCGTAGAAACTAATGGAATTTGCAAGCAGTTACTTCACATATTATCTATATAAGGAATCCCTTATGCTCGGTACGCATCACTTTTTATACCAGCCTATTGTTTCGTTTATATTTTGTTTTGTTTTTGCAGTGTTATTATGAAAGTTTAAGATTGAGTTTTTTAGTTGCTGTTTGTGCTTCAAAACTGGGTCGAAAATACATCTGAAAACGTCAGTTATTCGTCATTTCTACGTCTATCCTGCGGATCGTATTATAGTTCTTTGATTTTCTTTTTGCTCTCTTTGCCTTCTACAAGTTAACAAGTTTATGTTTGGCATATAAGGTAGTCAAAACGTTTGTTGTCTAAAGTTTTGATTAAAATGATTAAAAATTTAAAAAATGCAGCAATAAATAAAATAATTTTGGAGAATAAAAATAACACATTACATGCTTTTATGCGATGGGCGTTCTGGCAAAAGTGGATAGAAGAGCCCTCGCTTTTAAAAAATTTTGCCTTTGATATTTATCCATAAAAGTAACGAAATTGGTAAGGAAAGATGGAGGCAAATCCAGGGCCTCCGACAAATGGGGGGGGGGGGCAGGGAGCATGCCCCCACCTTTTTGCAAAACAATAGAGCTTTTTCAAAATCTTTTGTTATGGGTGTTAAATTTTCCCTTTCCCATCCACTTCATGTGATGTCATTTAGTAATGTTTGACTCTTTGCGATTCTATTCTATGAGTTTGAAACTGCCACTTCGTAGCACAGGCGTCCTGTTCGTGAAATAACCTTTTATAAGATAAAATGGTCTGGATCCCTTCTTTTATAGTACATTTCCTTTCAGAACTACGTTTTACATTAGTCCAATTAAAGCTATTTTATGTAGTTAACCAATCTCCTTCCTCAACACCCCCTTTACAAGGCAACTCTGCATTTACGTTTTTGGTAACAGAAAGCACATTATCCAAAGTGGTTGGAAGTGAGAGGGACTGACGAAACCCCTTAAAAATAACAAACTACTTTCTTTTTTCTTAAAACACGGTGCTGAATGGCAGTAGCGCCAATTGGGGGGTTCAGCCGGGGCAATGCTCGCGCAGAGAAGTAAGATGTTTTTTAACGATAATGCATCATTCTAGGGGCTTTGTGGCTAGACGGGACACCGGGATATTTCCCGATGGGCCCCTTTCAAGTGAGTTTAGAATTAAAGACTTTAAGGTCAACATATATAAACAAGGCCTTGTGATAGAAATATGTGAATTATGAACAATGCCACTGAAAGGGGGGCAAGGAGGAGCAAACTGCCCAAGGGACTCGAGGTCTAGGGGCCTCTTAAGGTAAGGAATTCCATTTCAAACACTGAATTTTAACGAAACGCAACAAATTTACCTAAAGAATCGCAATACGTTGTAAACGATTGCAAGAAAATGACTGCAAGAAACATTCTGAAATGTATTTGAACCTAATTCAAAGGGCGCGGCCGCAAAAATTTGCAAGAGAAGAAAATTTCTGCAAGAAAATGAAAAATTGGTTCATTCATTTAATGCAAAATGATGACCCTAATCTAAGTCCTCTGATACAAAGTTTTCCAGTGAATTGTGTAAAAGCTTCATACGACCTAAAAAGTTCACCGAACACAGCCCCAAATGTACAACCTTTATGATTTTTTTTTATTCGCCTTATTATTTGAAGTTGTAGTCACGTTCTTTTTGAAATATGTTACTGTTTATTCGTATTGCTTCATTTAGTTTGTTTTAGTTAGTTCCTCAGTAGCTGCTTAAATATACAAGTTGTCTTGTACTAGGCTTTTGATGGAAAAATGAAAATCTTGAAAAATCTTGAATGGAAAGCACCTGAAAGGAAAACGCCCCCCCTCCCCCCGGCTTCTCAATATAAATCGTATTCCCCATGGAAACCATTTGCCTGGATCCAATGAGGTGTATACATAGGGGCCCTTTACATGAGACCCGAAACGAAACTCATGCCGGTGTCATATGCGTTTCTGCATGGGCATGCGTTTCTGCATGGGCTGAGACACATATGCGTTTCAAATTTTTTGTAGTTTGCCTTAGGCCCATGCAGAAACGCATAGAGAATTTCAGTGTTATGCGTTTCTGCATGGGGCATCTAAAATCAAAACACCATCGAATTTCGTCGCAAATTAATGTTTACTAGCAAGAAATGATTGCAACAATCTGATATAGGTCAAATTTTTCCATGAAAGTAGCATTTTTGAATTTTTTATCATTTTTTGTAGTTTGCCTTAGGCCCATGCAGAAACGCATAGAGAATTTCAGTGTTATGCGTTTCTGCATGGGGCATCTAAAATCAAAACGACACTGAATTTCATCGCAAAAGCATGTTAACTAACAAGAAGTGATTGTGAGAATATGATCTAGGTCAAACATGTCCATGGCAGTAGCATTTTTGAATTTTTTATCATTTTTTGTAGTTTGCCTTAGGCCCATGCAGAAACGCATAGAGAATTTCAGTGTTATGCGTTTCTGCATGGGGCATCTAAAATCAAAACACCATCGAATTTCATCGCAAATTAATGTTTACTAGCAAGAAATGATTGCAACAACCTGATATAGGTCAAACTTTTCCATGCAAGTAGCATTTTTGAATTTTTTATCATTTTTTGTAGTTTGCCTTAGGCCCATGCAGAAACGCATAGAGAATTTCAGTGTTATGCGTTTCTGCATGGGGCATCTAAAATCAAAACGACACTGAATTTCATCGCAAAAGCATGTTAACTAACAAGAAGTGATTGTGAGAATATGATATAGGTCAAACTTTTCCATGCAAGTAGCATTTTTGAATTTTTTATCATTTTTTGTAGTTTGCCTTAGGCCCATGCAGAAACGCATAGAGAATTTCAGTGTTATGCGTTTCTGCATGGGGCATCTAAAATCAAAACACCATCAAATTTCATCGCAAATGACTGTTTACTAACAAGAAATGATTGCAACAACCTGATATAGGTCAAACTATTCCATGCAAGTAGCATTTTTGAATTTTTTATCATTTTTTGTAGTTTGCCTTAGGCCCATGCAGAAACGCATAGAGAATTTCAGTGTTATGCGTTTCTGCATGGGGCATCTAAAATCAAAACACCATCGAATTTCATCGCAAATTAATGTTTACTAGCAAGAAATGATTGCAATAACCTGATATAGGTCAAATTTTTCCATGCAAGTAGCATTTTTGAATTTTTTATCATTTTTTGTAGTTTGCCTTAGGCCCATGCAGAAACGCATAGAGAATTTCAGTGTTATGCGTTTCTGCATGGGGCATCTAAAATCAAAACACCATCAAATTTCATCGCAAATGACTGTTTACTAACAAGAAATGATTGCAACAATCTGATATAGGTCAAACTATTCCATGCAAGTAGCATTTTTGAATTTTTTATCATTTTTTGTAGTTTGCCTTAGGCCCATGCAGAAACGCATAAAAAATTTCAGTGTTATGCGTTTCTGCATGGGGCATGTAAAGTTTACGAACCATCTCTTCTTGTTCGTCCTAAAGGACACTTGCAAGACTTGATAGGGATAATGTCGATGGGATATTTAAATGAGGGGCCAACGAGAAATTATAAAGAATTATAAAAAACCTTGGAAAAATTATAAAAACCATGCCCTTTCAAACACTAAATGTTGTATGTCTTAATGTTTCTTAACGGTTTAGACTCAACGATTAGTGATGTTTCTGCTGGTTTAAATTGTGGTTAAACTGGTAAAATGTTCTGTTCCCTTTTCGGTTATTGATAATAATAAGATACTGAAAGAGGACAACTTGAATAACTGAAGAGTGCTTTTCATAAAGGTTTTCTATTAAATTTACTATTAAAAATTCATTAAGAGTTTCAGAGAATTTCAGCTGAACATCAGGGTAGCATTTCTTCATGAGCGTAGTAATGTTTTTCTTAATGCCGAGGCTATAGTTTCTTTAAAATGGTAAAAGGAACAAGAGAAGCTGTTTATTACTGTCAAGGTCAGAGGTTTTAGTAGTAGGTTTAAACTGTATGTCGAGAAAGACACGGATTAACTTATTAATTCGTATTCAGATCATCTAAACCAATCTCTAATTCATTCATCTTTAAAGACCGCGACACTCCACTTTTGTGCTCTAACGTTATTTACAAGTTTACTTGTAGTGGCTGCAGCGCCATTTATTATGGCAAAACATCTCGAAATCTCATGATTCGATGTAGAGAGCATTTGGGAATCAACAATCATAGTCAAGGTGTTAAAACAGTTAGCCCTTTCTTCATTCACGATCATATTTCCAAAACTGGAACCCGCATTAAAATCAAATTCTTATAAAAAAGATCTATCCTTAAAAGAAGTTGCTGTCTTAAGATTAAACTAACTTACTAGAAGCAATTTTTATCGTTTAGATAATGAATGATTAAAAAACCCATATTGGTTCTTAGGCGCTCTGTTTTATTGCGTAAGAAAGTTATTGCGAGAATGCTTCATTCATTTGGAAATGTCATAATTTCTGTTGTTTTTCTCTCTGTAAGAGGCAAGTGCGATGCAGCAGAGAATAGAAAAAGCCACCAATGGGTCCCTCCTGTATAAGCCCCCGACAAATCAGTTCCCATGTTGTTAAGCCCCACTTGAGGCTTATCGTTGAATAATGAACATGATTTTAGCCAGTGATAAATCATGTATTAAAAAAAATCTGTTTTCATGATATTATTTTTGTTTTAAAGACGTGGCGAGACAGGCCTTGTTAGGAAAGGGGGGAGGGGGTGTTGCTTACGAAACTTCCTGAGTGAGAAAAATTCCTGCAGTAAGGAAATTTCGAAATTACTTGAAGAAGGCCTGGTTTTTCCGATTTAGTACCAACAAGAAATCTCAAAACCTTCGCGGGAATATCATTAGGGACGGATTTCAGCGGCAATGATTGGGGGGTGTTTGATTGGATAGTGGTGCCACACCTTTCAGGTAACTGGAAAATGATGGAAAGGCCCATTTTAGAAATTAAACTTCTCGCTTCAAGGTGAAGAAGTTTAGGAAATAAAAAAAGTAAATTGTTCAATTATTTTTTAGCTACTAACCACCAAAAATATTTTCAACCGAATCAAAACAAAATTTACCAAAGGACACAAAAATATTGAGGGGTGGCGCACCCCCTACAGCCCCGTCCTGGTAAATCTGTCCCTGAATATCATATTAACCAACGGAGTAACAATCATTGCCTCAGATTCTTTATTGATCTCTGAAGACGTAGGGGCTCTGAACTACTTACAATCTTTCTTCCATTGAACTGAGGCATCAATCTGAATAAGAAATCGAGCTTTAAAAACATGTCCAACTGTTCTGTAAAATATCTAGTCATGCTTCAACTCGTATTTCAATTTTCATGGAGCCTGTGAAACTAAAACCGTTGATGTCTCAGATTGGCTATTGCCTGCTGATTTGGGTGTTTCGAAAAAGAAAATTTGAACAATAAGATAAAGTGAATTTAAGAGAGGGGCTTATAATAGCATATATTTGTGATGCTTCTTGATTTGAAAAATTATTTGAAACTGATAGCTCTTTAAGCCTTCATCAAATGAACCTGTATTTGCTTTTGGTAGAGGTCTACAAACTCACATCTATGTTCTAGCTTCATAAAGCTAGCTTTGGTGGAAAAAATTCCTGACAATCTAACGTCTCTTGATGAACTACAATTGTCAACTCTCAACATTTTATTCAAATTTTGGTTTTTTTATTGTAACAAGTATTTCACTCATTTTATGTTTTTAATAGTAAATTTTATATTTTTGTAAGTGATTGGTAAGCATCTTCAGCCTTATTTATTTGCAAACCTTAAAATATTACTGAAAATAGAGCTGTGGAGGATGTAAATCAACTTTTACTGGTTTACTTTTTTTATCAGAATGGTAGGAATTCTATACTATCTGTGATTTATTCAAAATTGCCCAGAATTTGATTCCTTGACCTGTGTAACAAGTTTATCTGGTTCTTTAGCCAAAAGAATAGTCGTAAATCAGCAACTAATTTTATATCGTTGGCTTTGAATTATGGGAATCATTTTGGAGGAAGCTCTTTGTGTAAATCTGCATAATTTTATTCGTATAACGCATGATTATATCACATATTCTTAGCTTTATATTAACTAGTTGCTGTTTTCTAACTTACAAGTCTAAATATGTTTTTAAAGTTTTGTGGCGATGGATCATATCACAAACCTTTATTAAAAGTTGTCAGAAAACGCACATCCGTTGAAACACATTTGTGTCCTGTCGAACGCATATGCACTTCACGCCATTCACAGCTAGGCCCTGCATGTCCGCCATTACACTGTAACACTTGAAACGCATATGCGTCTCGGCCCATGCAGAAACGCATGCCCATGCAGAAACGCATAGTACACCGGCACGAGTTTTAATGCCGGTGTAATATGCGTTTTGGTACCCTATGCAAAAGTGTAACATTGTGAAACGCAATGTGTTTCAGATCGTGTGATTTCATCATTGTGCGATGTTTGACACGTTTTTAAGAGTTTAATATTTCACACTTGTCAATTACGCAAACTTTGGAGTCGCCATTAATGTTGTACTTTTTTTGCATAAACTTAACAACGGAAATCACAGCACCGTTTAGCACCGCTTCTTATTAGTACCCCCTATTGATAAAAATAGTTCAATTGTTCTGAACAATATGAACAATATGAACCAGAACATTTGTGTACCCGGACCAGTTCGCATGCTTAATTCCATTATTCGTTTCGGTACCCTATTGTTTAAATGCTTTGGTACGTTTTTGCATAAACAAAATTGTCATGTGTTTGTGTTCCTGGACCGTTTTGCATGCAAAGTTCCACCATTCGTTTTGGTACCCTATTGTTTAAGTGCTTGGGTACGTTTTTGCATAACCAAAATTGTCATGCGTTTGTGTACCCGGACCGAAATGCATAAGGTTACCGAA